AGTACAATAAAATGTGCATTGTGCTAGTCTACATTTTTCTGTGCATTTGCAGTATCTTGTGATTTTGAGTATTTAAGGCAGAGAACAGCATGGGTGCTGGTGGCTCATGCCTGCCTGTAATCCTAGCTACTTGGGAGCCTGAGATTGGGAGGATCAAGGTTTGAGGCCAGCCTGAGCAAATAGTTCTCGAGACCCTATCTCCAAAATAACCAGAGCAAAATGGACTGGAGGTGTGACCCAAGCTGTAGAGCGCCTCCTTTGCAAGTGCCAAGCCCTGAGTTCAATCTCAGGGCTTGGTGGGAGGGAACAAAGTTTGCTAGAGAATGCAGTGAAGTTCAGGGTTTCTGAGGTCCTTGGATTTACGCATGACTCACCTTCTTCCCCTGGGTGCTCACCTCCACCCCTTCTGCCCCCCCTCCAGCTTGTCTGCCCCACCCCTCACAACTGCCTCACCTGCCTGGTCTGCTCACCTGTGGGGAGAGCTGTCCTGGGGGCCCAGGCTGCGCCCTCCACTCTGGCAGTCTGGGCCAGTACATGGGACTGCCCGTCTGTTTGCCTTGAGGCTCCGACTTGCTGTCAGTGTTGTGCAGAGCCAGCCTTGGGGACACATTGGCTTTCTGTTGGCTAACAACCCCATCAGTCTTTCTCTCCCTGTGGTTTTCAACTTGGGTCTGGGAACCCTGCCCTTCAGGGCTCCGGGGAGGGAAGGTGGGATGCCTTTGTGTGCCTACTTTTACTGCCTGCTTCCCTTTCAGGAAAAAATTCTGTTTTAGAACCATTCGGACACTCTGGCCCAGTGTCAGGAATGAGGGAGGGGACCTCAGGGGTTTGGGGGAGGGGTCTGGGGGTCTCTTTGACTTTGTAAAGTCATGGGGTCCTTGGTCACTGCGGCTGCTGTTTCTGGGAGTGACTCGGGTGGCAGAGGCCACCAGGCTACATCCACATTCATCTGGTAAAAGGTAGGTAGCAGCAGGTGGCAGGCAGAAGTCCCTGCTCGGTGTGATGTGTGGCTTCCTGCCCAGGAAAGGGTGACAGGGGCCCCCAGGGGAGGCAGTGGCCTGGCACGCAGCTGGCTTTGCTCTTCCTTGTTTTTACAGTGGCTGTGGGTCGGTGAAGTGGCTGGTGACTGCCCCATGCTGTGGGCAGTGTGGACAAAGGCCTGGTGGCCTGGGCCTCAGCAGCCATGTTCCCTTGGTCCCCTGTGAGCCTGCGGGGAGAGCAGCAGGGCATGTGGCCTCTTCCGTCCTAGGAGGTGGGGCCCAGACCACTTAGTACCTGCATTTGTAAATATTTTAGTCTGTACCACAGAAAGATAAGAGGTCTTAAAATAAAAAACGGCCGATACCATGGGATACCTAAAATGTATTTAACAGCGATTCCTTAGTGCTGTGAGGGAGCAGTGGTTTTGCAGAAGCCCTGAGTGTGAGCATGGCAGTGTGGATGGCGGGGTGGGGGGAGAAGAGGAAGCAGGGACACCCCCCCTGTCTGGGCCCAGATGCGTATTTACAGATAGAATGTGAACAGATGAGACTTCTGTTTTCATGACATGACCCAGGGAGGTCCAATTCCCGTACTGTGGGCTTCACCCATCTGAAGCCTGTGCTCAGTGCTTTTAGTGCACTCACAAATGGGCCACTGTCACCACAGTTTTGGGACATTTTTCTCATCTCCAAAAGAAGCCTCCTTAGCATCACCTCCAGCCCCTCAGTTCCTCCCAGCCCCTTGTCTACTTTCTGCCTCTGTAGATTTACCTATTTTGGACATTTCATACGTACAGAACCGGACGGTGTTTTTCCTCTTCTGTCTGCTTCCTTTCACCTAGCATCAGTTTCCTTTTCCTTTCATTTTATTGTTGTGCTGGTACATTGTGGCCTTTACAAAAGTTCTTACAATGTTTCAAATAGTTCATACTAGCAGTGCTCCAGTGGCTCACGCCTGTAATCCTCCTAGCTACTCAGGAGGCAGAGATCAGGAGCATCGTGGTTCAAAGCCAGCCCAGGCAAATAGTTTGCAAGACCCTATCTCGAAAAAACTCATCACAAAAAAAAGGACTGGTAGGGTAGCTCAGGGTGAAAGCCCTGCGTTCAAACCCCAGTACCGTAAAAAGCAAAATATGTGTGTGTGTGTGTGTGTGTCACTTGAATTCATCATATTTTCTAGGTTCATTTCTCGTGTCAGTGCTCTGTTCCTTTTTATGGAGTAATATTCAGTTGCACAGGTAGAACACATTTTATTTACCCCTTCCTCTTTTTGCCTGCTGTGTGCATTTGTGTACAAGTTTTTGTGTGGATAGATACCTACGAGTGGAACGGCTGAGTCCCATGGTTACAACAGGCAGTGTGACAGTTTTAAGTCACGAGGCCGTGAAGCCAGCTGGAGGGCAGGATTAGCATTCATTATGTTTGTACAGAGGAGCTTCTCAGCTCTTTCTGTCACCTGGTCAACCTGTCTCGGCTGCTGCAGACCTAGAAAGATTGACCAAGTGGAGGGCAGATAGGACCGTGCTTTCACAGTGTCATCGTTTGGTTCAGGGAGCACTGACCTTCACTGAGCGTAGGTCACTCTGACAAGGGCATGTTGCCCCTGGAAGGGACACTGTAAGTATTCTCTGACTCCCGAGCTAACATCAGTGCATACTTTTGGATAGTGTTGGGCAGATGCTGTATTTAATCTACTGTCACAATGGACCCCTTGAGTTTTACAGGAAGCTGTGAGGGTTGTCGGTGGCAGCCATCGCAGCACTTTATATGCCAGAACTGATGCCAGGCTGGCCGGCCTTGTAGTCACTGTGATCCATCTGGGTGGTTTTGTGACTTAGCCTCGAGGCCCCAGCCGCTCTTTGACACGTGGATTCCGAGCTGCATGGTGGGGTTCCCTTCTGAGTGGTGTGTGGATCCGCAGCGAGCATTGGGTGGTGATCTTGCAGCTTTAGAATGGGATCTGTGTCTTCACCCCTGGCCAGGCCCTGGGCACCCACCACCTGCCCACTAAAGTCATGTGTAAACGTTGCCCAGTGCTCAGCACCCGTCTGTGTGTGAAGGTCATGCCGAGTGGGTGCTGTTTTGCCAACTTGCTCTGCTCAAGTCAGAGCTGAGCTAGAAGGTTCTGTGTGCTAGGTCCCAGGTGTGTTGCCCACGCCAGCCTCCTCCGATGCCTTTGGCACCCACGTAGATGCCTCTGGTGGCACGCCCCGCTGATGCTTTTGCATTGTCCTCAGTACAAAACCCAGAAAACCCAGCCCTCCCACAGGCTGCCTCTGAGCCCCCCACCCCACCCACCCCAAAGCTGCCTTCTGGGACTACAGGCATCTGCCCTGGACCCTGCTCTCCAGCCCTTGCTCACTGGCCCCAACTGAGCCCCACTCCTGTCCCTGGTCCTCCTCAGCTCAGCATCTCATGGCTGGTCCTTGTGCTGGGCTTTAGGGTCTCCTGGAAATTCCTGCCTGGCACCCCCTCTCCCCTACCCCAAATGCTGTTCAGGTGACACTTGTTTTCGTGCTCTCTGCTCCTGTCTCTGCTGGAGGAGGGCAGAGGCCCCTCTGCAGGGTCTATGTCCTCTCCTTGTTGGCACATGGGACGCAGCCAGCAAATATTTGTTGAATGACCAAGTGAGTGACAGTTGGCTGCCTTCCAAGCCTGCATCTGGGAGTGTTTCTGTGTTCTGACTTGCTGAAGACTGAGCTGCTTGAATTTTGGGGACTGGGTGTCTTTGAAACCACAATCCTGTTGATTTTGAAGGTCCTCCACATGGCCCTTGGGGGCGTCACGGGCAAACAGGTGTGACAAGAATATGCCATGCACACACAAGCATGCCCACACGGCACACACACACACACACACACACACACACACACACACACACAATTTAGATTTCACCATACTTCTGTAGAGTTTTTATTGCTTACCTTAAAAAAAAAAAAAGAAACCCATTGAAAGCCAGGTGCCAATGGCTCATGCCTGTAATCCTGGTTTGGGAGGGTGACATCAAGAGGATTGAGGTTCGAGGCCAGACAAGTACTAGGGTTTGAACTCAGGGCCTACACCTTGAGCCACTCCACCAGCCCTTTCCTGTGAAGGGTTTTTCGACGTAGGGTCTCTCGAACTATTTGCTTGGGGTGGCGTCGAAGAACCTTTATCCTCCTGATCTCTGCCTCCCGAGTAGCTGGATTACAGGCATGAGCCACCAGCGAGGGGGTGCGGGGGGACCCCTTGAGTACTTTGCAGCAGTATTTTGAGAAGGTCACGCACTCTCAGAAGGGACGGGCAGAGGAGTAGCTGCTGGGGGAGCCCAGGAGGCTTGGGGGGTGGAGCAGGTGGGGCAGAGGTACCGCTTCTTCTGTGCTGGGGCACGGTGGTGTCAGTGTAGTAAGGTGGCAGGAGCGAGCCAGTTCCAGCAAGGCAAAGGTCAGTCAGAGCATAGGTTTCCTCTTCTAGGGCCTTGCACCTGCCCAGCGGGCCCTCCAGCAGAGCCATACCACAGCCTTGCATGTGTTTCCCGGGGCCCGAGATGGGAAAAGAGCCCAGAGCCACCATGGGACAAAGTCCCCTGGGTGATTGAGGAGGACACAGCCCTGTCCTGTGTCTGTGCATGACATCACACTGCATCTTCGGTGCTGTCCGGAAGGCTGAGGTGGCTTCTCAACTGCCCAGGGGTGCTCCAGAGGCCAGGGCACCTGGTGTTGGTGCCACACACCTGCCCGCAGACCAGGAAGTGGTCGTGAGGGCGATACTCGGCACTGCAGTGTGAATTGCTGAAGCCATCAGCTTCCTGGGTCCCTAGTGGGGGCTCCATGGATGGGGGGATTGCAAGTACAGGGGCTCCACTGGCCTGGACTTCTCGGCAGAGGCCACAGGGGTCTGTATAGCACTGGACAGGCAGGGTGTGACACATGGGGACAAACATGAATCCAAAACTCAGAAAGACCTATACTGGTGTCGGAGGGGGGGTTTGCCTGGCCTTGGAGAGCTGCACCCTGACTTCGGCTTCCCCTCTCCTTCCAGGTAATCACTCACCATGGCAGAAGCTCACCAGGCTGTGGCTTTCCAGTTCACTGTCACCCCAGACGGGATCGACCTCCAGCTGAGCCATGAGGCCCTGAAGCAAATCTGTCTCTCGGGACTTCATTCCTGGAAGAAAAAGTTCATCCGATTCAAGGTCTGCCCATATCTGCTTGAGCCCGTATGTGGTGTCTGTTCTGACAGCCAAGAGTGGCTCTCTGGATGCCATGTGCGTTGGTGGTACCTGAGGCTGTGGAGCACCGCCTCACCGAGGTTTATTTTGTTTGACGGGGGTGGAACTCAGGGCCTCACGCTTCCCAGGCAGGTGCTCTGCCACACGAACTACAACCCTAGCACTTTTTTAAAAAAAATGTGTTTTTGTGACAGGGTTCCCCCTGGGCTGGTCTCAAACTCACAATCTTCCTGCCTTTTCCTTCTGAGTAGCTGGGATTACAGGTGTGCATCGCCATGCTCAGCTGGCTCACTGAGTTCTTGAGATTCAGTAAGGCAGGTGGAGTGCACCTGCTTGCTGTAAAACAGGACAGGAAGCAAGGTTCCCAGGGAAGGGACCTGCTTAGCAGGGGCCGAGTCAAGACTGGAATGCAAGTCCAACCTTGGTTTTAAGGCTGAATATCTAGACATCGGTGACTTTGCTGGTAAAATACTCGAAAGCTGCAAACTGTCCGCATGAATTATCGAGCAGAGTTCGGGCCACATGTTCCCAATTATGGCTGTCTGAAGAAGTGGAAATGGGCTGCTCCTTTTAAGCAGGTGTCTTGTTTTTTGTTCATTTTCATTGTGGACTGGAGGCGTGGCTCAAGCGGTAGAGCGCCTCCTTTGCGAGCACGAAGCCCTGAGTTCAAACCCTAGTCCCACCAAAAAAGAAAAAAACTAATTTTTTAGTGTATTTTTTGTTTTTATTGTTACGGTGCTGGGGATGGAACCCAGGGCCTTGCTCATGCAAGGCAAGCTACTGAGCTCATCCCAGAGCCTAATTTTAGTTGACTTAAAAATCCCAGCAGGACTAAGTGTGGGTTTGAAAAGCTTCAAGCCAGTTCAAGCTCCCGGCCCACTGTGCCCGCGCAGACCAAGGCTGCTGGGAGAGGCTCACGAACCAGAGTAGGTGGCGGCAGGTGCGCCCCTGGAACTGGCTCCATTGCACAGGTGTCCCCCGGGTGAAGTGGTGGCTGTGGGGCACAGGTGACCCATCAGCTGGTGTTCTGTGCACCGCAGTGTGGAGGAGGGCGCCACCTGTAGGAGAAGCTGAGTTTGGGAGCCAGGCTCACGGAGGAGGAAGAGTGGGTGGCCTAGCCCTGCACACCACGCGGGCGAGGACAGTGGCGTCTCGCAGGAGCAGAGGGGCCAGCCAGGACACACAGGCCTCTGTGGACTTGGAACTGGGGAGGCGTGGTGAATAACGGTCCTCTCGCTCACTTATTTTTTACTTAACTTTAATGGATTAGTTTGTTTTAAAAGAGCGTCTTTAGCTCAGAGAACGTCTTTCGACAGTTAGAAGCCCCGTGGGGCGCTCACGTCGGTGAGAATCCCAACGAAGAGTTAGAAACCCGTTGTCTTGGGCAAACCAGGATCTTAGTAAGAGGCATTCGTGAGCTTTTATTTTTTTTTTCTTGGAGAGACAGGATCTCACTGTGGCCCAGCCAGCTCGCTCTCTCCATCCTCCTACTCTCCTGCCTCAGCCTCTGAGGTGCTGGGATTACAGCTGTGTGCTGCCATGCCATCTGGGAATTTTCATTTTCAAGGTTTTCAAACATACAGCAAAGTGAAGAGCATAGGTAACAATCCCACCTTTCAGGGCCCAGCACTGTCTTGACTCAGGATTGCCATGGGTGGTTTTGGAACTGGGGTCTCGGGCATCCTGGACAGTGACAGGCCAGGATGGGACTCCATGGTGGCCCAAGGATGTTCTTTGTCAGCAGGTGACGTGAGCCAGTCTGAGTAGAGCCTGGGCATCTGGGTGGCAAAATAGTGCCTGGGTGGTGCTAATGTCTTGGGGTCCCTCTTGGGGAAACTGTTGCATGGCAGGTTTAGCTCACAAGTCAACAAAGGGAAGACGCTGAATGTCGTTGGAGCAGCTGCGGCTGTGACCTCCAGGGAACAGTCCCAGCCTTTGAGGGGGCAGTCCCTGGTCACCTGTGTGCTGGGACACCTTCTCCCACTGCCTGGTGTCCCAGCAGCCTGTCTTTCCAGGGCCAGTCCAGTTGTGGCCACTGTAGGGAGAGCACAGCTCACGGTTGGCCCTGTCTGCTTTTAGAATGGCATCCTCACCGGCGTCTTCCCAGCCAGTCCCTCCAGCTGGCTCATTGTGGTGGTGGGCGTGATGTCGTCCACCTACACCAAAATGGACCCCTCCTTGGGCATGATCGCGAGAATCAGTCGGACCCTTGGCACGACGTGAGTAATCCTATCGTCATCGGTGCTGGGGTGGCTCGTCATATGCAGACTGTCACTGTCCTGGGTTCCATTTGAAGTTTTCGCTGTCCTTTCCTGGCCTGCTGTCAAAGTCCCCTAGGAGTTTGGGGACCTAGAGGCCCATATCCTGGAGCCCACACTGAGGAGAGTGGCAGAGGTCTGGGCACTGCTGCCTGAAGGCATCTGAGGCCCGAGGCCCAGCAGTGGCCTTTGCAGAGTTCATGTGTACATGTCCGCCATTTAAAGCCCTGTGTAATCTGGGTCTTTATAGGATTGGGCTCTTTGTCCCTCTGAGTCTATTTTGGTAAACTGGGCCACCTCAGAGCCGAATTTAGACAGGCAGGGTTAAGGGTCAGAGCCTTCCAGCCTCCAGGGCTGTTCCGAAGCTGTCTTCTCCAGGAGGAAGGAGCGCCAGTACCCCAGGCTGCTGTTTTCTTTTGTTTTGATTCTGGGGACCGAACCCTGGGCCTCATGCATGTCACCAAGCTGTGCCACTGAGCCGCCCCCAGCCCCAGTTGTTACTTTCAGAGTGCGGTCCCTGGCGCTGTGTGGGTTTCTCTCTGCAACTCCCCATCCCTGCTCCTCAGGAGCTCGATTTTTTGGTTTGAATTTTTTTTTTTTTCCAGTACTGGGCTTTAAACTTGGGGCCTCAGCTTTCGAGGCAGGCGCTCTACCACTTGACTCATACCTCCAGGCCTTTTTGCTTTCAGTTATTTTTCAGATTATTTTTCAGGGTCTCATCTTTTTGCCGAGGGCTGGCCTTGGAACCATGATCCTCCTAACTGTGCCTCCTGAGTAGCTAAGATTACAGCGAGCACCACCACGCCCAGTTTATTGATTGAGATGGGGCTTTAATTTTTTGCCTGGCCTGTCCTAGAACTGGGATCCTCCCTACCTCCACCTCCCAAGTAGCTGGATGTGAGCCGCTATGTCTTATTTTTAAAGTTCCATCTTTACCATGAAATACTCTCCCTTCACAAACAAACGAAAATATTTCCTTTCTCTGTTTATTATTTAAATGACCCTTTTTCATGATCAGGTCATCAGTTTATCCAAGACAAATATTCCCCACTAGATCAAAACCAAGGTCTTTTGGTACCAAATAGCTCAGGTAACGATTGTAACCAACAGCTTAAGTCTATGAAGAGCTGAAGAAAATGGCACAAATTCCCCATGAGCACCAGCCAGGCGGTCCACGTCCCCCAGGGCACAGGGTACCCCGTGGGTGGCCTCTGCCATGGACCCTGGAGAGAACAGTGTGTTTTCCCAGATTGCACAAATCAACTTTTTTCTTTTTTTCTGTGGTACTGGGATTTGAACTCAGGGCCTGCACCTTGAGCCACTCCCGATCTCTGCCTCTTGAGTAGCTGGGATTACAGGAGTGAACCACTGGGGCCCGGCTCCTTAGTTTGTTTTGATTCCAGAAAAGCCTGACTAGGTCTCACTGTGTTGCCCAGGCTGGTCTTGAACTGCTGGGCTCACAAAATCCCTTGCCTCAGCCTCCCAAGTGCTGGGATTACAGGCACAGGCCCAGGTCTGGTTCATTTAGAGGCGGAAGGAGGTGGCTGAGGAGTCCCTGGAGTGTCACTCTGTGACGAGGCCAGGCAGCCTCCTCCCATGTCTTCTGTCTCTGCCCATCCCACACTAATGCACTTGAATCTGCCTGGCTTTGTCCTTGCAGTGGCCGCCTGTCCACCCAGACGAAGAACGTGGTGAGCAATGTCCTCTTCGGCACAGGGCTGTGGGTGGCTCTTATCGTCACCATGCGCTACTCCCTGAAGGTGCTCCTGTCCTACCATGGCTGGATGTTCGCTGAGCACGGCAAAGTCAGCCGCTCCACCAAGATCTGGATGGTAACAGAGGGCGCTGGCCATCGGCGGGGAGCCAGGGGAGAGGCTCCTTTTCTTTGTTTCTTTTTTTTTTTTTGGTCGTACTGGGGTTTGAACTCAGGGCCTACACCTTGAGCCACTCCACCAGCCTTTTTTTGTGATGGGTTTTTTTGAGCTAGGGTCTCACAGACTATTTGCTCAGGCTGGCTTCGAACCTTGATCCTCCTGATCTCTGCCTTCTGAGTAGATAGGATTACAGCTGTGTGCCATCAGCGCCCAGCAGGGACCTTTTTTCTTTGACCCCTCATGTGTGATTTGGTCATGACCTGTGGTGGCTGGAGAGGTTCCATTCACGTCCAGCTGGTCTCTGTGGCTTTCTGGCCACCGTGCAGTCAGGTGGGCTCACTCCTGTATCCTAGCACGTCCCTAGCCCTGTGGCCAAGTTGGGTCCTGCCTTTAAAGAAAAAACCCTTGCATGTGTGGACACTTGTCCGAGCTTGTTTATTTCCAGGAGTTCAGTTTTCTGAGAAATCACCCATCCCAGGTAGGAATCACCTTGGGGCTTCTGAGGCTCCATCTTTGGAGCTCAGCCCTGTAAGTCACAGCAGGCTTGTGCTCACATATGTGCACCTGACCACCTGTCACTGTCTTGGGCTTCCCTGGGTTTCTGGGGCTGTTCTTTGTAAAGAAACAGTAACTTTTTTGTTTTGTTGTGTTGAGACAAGGTCTCACTAAGTAGCCCAGGCTGACCTCAAGCCCCCGCTCCTCCTGCCTCAGTCTCCCAAGTGCTGGGACTATAGGGGTGCCCCACCAGTCTGTCTTAAGAGTAACTTTGTTAGCACACCTTTTATAAAGTGGCTGAAATGATTTTAACAAACTTGGTCATGGTAAGCTTTTCTTTAAAGTCGTTTCTCTCTTGGCACTCTTTCTCATTGATTTGTTTCTTTGCAGTACTGGGGATCGAATCCAGGGCCTCACTCATACTAACTAGGCAAGCCCCTCTACCACTTGAGCAACGCACCCAAAGCTTTTTTTTTTTTTTGATTGTTTTTGAGGCAAACACTCAAAAGCCTAACTTTTCCCAGGCTTGGATTACAGGCATGTGCTGCCCAGCCCCACTCTCATTTTATTAGTGTATGTGAGATGGAATGTGTCAGTTTAGGTTTGCTCATGTGCACCTGAGGTTAGCCTGTGCTGTTTTGCTCAGTTTCCATGTTGTGACTCCAGCTGGCTGACCTGGCCCTCCAGGGGGGTCACCTTGGTGGTCACCACACAGCCCAGGCTTCACTGTTTTCCAGATCCATTTCCTGCTCTTTGCATGGAAGTGTTCTGGTTCCTAGAGAAGCAGAATTTATAAGTGGACATAAGGATGGCCTTTGGGGCCGATGTCCAGTTGAGTCCCAGCACTCCTCAGCACTGAGAGTCACCACTGCCTTTTCCCTGAGCCCTAGGAAAGCCTTGCGCTGGTCATCATCCAGTCTAAAACCAGGGCCCATGGTAGGCGATGTCCTGTCCACAAGACTTGACATGACCCAAGGGACCCCTTGCCAGCCCTGTGGTTGACTTGAGGGCCAGGCCCTCAGCTGACCTCACTCCTGTTCCTAATGCTTTGAGCCAATTGAAAACCAAGGGCCTCTCAGGAGGAGGTGTGGGATGCCACAGGCCCAGGGGGTCCTGACACTGGGCATCGGTGTCTCACAGGCTCTGTCAGACTTTGCTTTTAGTCAGCTTGCTTTGGTTTTATCTTACTTTACTTTCTGACAGCACTAGGATTTGAACTCAGGGCTTCACTCTTACTGGGCAGGCGCTCTACCACCTTAAACAGTCTGCCAGTCCTCACTGGGGTTTTTGGGGGGCGGGGGTCGAGGTGTTTGTTTCCCAAGGCCCATGAACGTAGGGCAGAGAAGCAGCCACAGACTAAGAACCACCATGGAAGACCTGTGAATAGTCGCCAGCTGTGTATAACCGAGAGCTGGATCTTAACTTAGCTCATCCTGAACGTGTCTTCTCTCTGCAGGCCATGGTCAAGGTCTTTTCAGGCCGAAAGCCCATGTTGTACAGCTTCCAGACATCTCTGCCTCGCCTGCCTGTCCCCACCATCAAGGACACAGTGAGCAGGGTAGGTGTGACTCAGCCTCATGTGCTCACAGGCCATTGCAGTGCCCTTACGTAAGGCTGCGACTGTGTCATTCTGTCATTTGACCTCACCAGCCCTAGCAATGTCCCTTGCAGGGCTGTTATAGTTTTTTTTTTTTTCTCAATACATCGTGGTATCTTAAATATCTTTTTTAAAAGGTGTCATGTTTCAAAGGCAAACTACTCAGATAATTTTATTTATTTTATTTGGTGGGACTGGGATTTGAACTCAGGGCTTCATGTTTGTAAAGCAGGTGCTCTACACTTGAGCCAAACCTCCATTTTGCTCTGGTTATTTTGAAGAGAGGGTCTCTTGAACTATCTGCCTGGGCTGGCCTTAAACTGTGATCCTTCTGACCTCAGCCTCCAGAGTAGCTAGGATTACAGGCATGAGCCACCAGCACCTGGTGAGACTGCTGATTTTTAAGCTGATCATATCTTGTCATATGGGCAGATTTTAGCTGTTGGGTTTCACGTTTCTGGCCCCATTTTCAGAACCTTCTCGGCTTCAGGACCTAATGACTTAGTCCCATTGACAAGGCAGTTCCTTCCCATCTCTGCTGTCCTGCATCCTCACCTGGGGGTTGGAGCCGATGGGGACGGGGTGAGGGAGACACCCAGGCTCTCAGTGGGCATCTGCCTGTGACACGTAGCTCAGTGTCTGCTTCCCGTGTGTGGCATGGTCTCTGTGTCGTTAGCACACATGTTCTGGGAAATGCAGGCACCTGAGACCCCCCACTACCCAAAGCTGCTCTTGCGGCCAGCGGCTTGGGGACAGAGCATCTCGTGACAAATCAACCAGCCACCTGTGTGAAGCTGCACCAAAGCCGTGTTGTTGAGGCGTGTGTCTGTCTGTCTGTGCCCTGAAAATCCTGACCCTCAAGCCCTGGCCTTGGCCTGTGTCATGACCAACCTGTCCCCTCCCGTCCCCTCCCCATCCTCTCCCCGTCCTGCAACTGAGTGCCTGCCTGACCCACACGGAGCTCTCAGTGCCACCCACCATCCCATGGCACCATCCAGGTCATCGCAGCATAGGTGAAGGCAGCTCTTTTATTAATTGCCAAATAGCAGAAGAGAGACAGTCTTGAAATGCCCTTGGTCACCCAGCAGTGACCTAGACACTGTGTGATGTCTCCAACCACTAACCCACGGCCTGGCTCGTGTCACTGAGCCGTGTGTGCTCAGGGAAGCACATTGGGGAGGGTGACGGTCTTGTGAAGGTGCCGTGACTCTCTTGGGGCGCAGGCGACATGGCCGCGCTTCGATGAGGTGTGTGATGTGGTGCTGTTTTCCACTGACCCAGTACCTGGACTCGGTGAAGCCTCTGATGAAGGAGGAGGAATTTCAGCGGATGACGGCGCTTGCCCAAGATTTCGCCGTCAATCTCGGACCAAGGCTACAGTGGTACTTGAAGTTAAAATCCTGGTGGGCCACAAATTACGTAAGTATTTGCACACGTAACTTTTCCTGATGAAAGTTTTCTGTATAAAAATACTAATTTGGGGTATTTATGTATTTTATCCCCTTTTTTGGGTGGTACTGGGGTTTGAACTCAGAGCCTCAGGCATGTTAGGCAAGTGCTCTACCTCTTGAGCCACTCCTCCAGCCGTTTTTTACACTTTAGCTATTTTTCAGATAGGGTCTCATGTTTTTGCCCTGGCCAGACTGAACCTCGATCCTCCCACCTTTGCCTCCCCAGTAGTTGGAACGGCAGGAGGGCACCATCAGTTCTGATTTGTTTGTTGAGATGGAGGTTTTAGTAACTTTTTGCCTGGGCTGTCTTTGAACTGTGATCCTCCTGATCTCCACCTCCTGAGTAGCTGGGATTACAGACACACACCACCATGCCTGGCCCATATTCTGTTTTCTATGAGGTGCCGGTTAGCCTGACATGCATTTAGACTCTTCACACATACCATTCCCTACCCGTGTGCTGCAGCAAAGTTGAAGACAGTGATCCCTGGGCAAGGGAGGTGATGACCGGGCAGCATGCATGGGTGGCTAGGAAGAGCTTGCTGGATGACACTGGGACAGTCACACTGGAGAATAAGAGCCTGGGTTAGTGCCGGGCTCTAACCTCGGTACCAACACACGGGGGCTTTTTCAGGGAGACTAGGAAATGGGGAGCAGTGTGGCGGTTGGGGACGGCGGGTGCTGGGGTGGGGCCCAGGCTGTGTGCGTGCCAGGCAGGCCCTGTCCTGCCAGCCCCGCCCAGTCCTGCAGTGTCAGCTGTTAAACACGCTGGGACTGGCGGGGTGGCTCAAGGGGTAGAGCACCTGCCCAGCAGGCGTGAGGACCCAAGTTCAAAGCCCAGTGCCACCAAAAAGATAAAACCCCAGAACACCCCACCTATGCTGTCACCCGGTCACTCGTTTTTTACCTATCCAAGCCATGAAAGTGATGTTCCTCGAGCCCTGTCTCCACTCCCTCGTCCACACACACAGGACGCCCCGGCCTGCTGGCCCTGTCAGTAGCGTGTCGCAGGCTCGTCCTGAGTGCGGGTGTCTGTGTCCCCAGGTGAGCGACTGGTGGGAGGAGTACATCTACCTGCGGGGCCGCGGCCCACTCATGGTGAACAGCAATTACTACGCCATGGTGAGTGGGGCCTCCCCCTCCCCCACCCCCTCCCCCTCCTCCACCCCACCCCACCCCCACCCCGAGCTGCGTGCACGCCTTGCACGCCTCCCCGCCACCTGGTGCCACCACAGACCGCACACCTGCACACTGCCCTGGGTGCCAAAGGCCACGGGCTTACGGGGACCGAGTGTTCGGGGCCGGCCTCCCGTCTCGGTTTCTCAAGACAGCTGTAAAGGGAGTTTCATTGCGACATTGCCGTGTGTACGTAGGTATTATAACCCGAATTGGTTTTGCCCTCTATTTTTCTCTTTTCTACCTTAGTCCCCTTCTTATGGTAGTTTTCCTTATCTGTTTTTATTGTTTGCTTTTTTCAGAGTTTTCCTTCTTTTTTTTTTTTTTGTCCTTTTTGTGATACTGGGGACTGAGCCCCTGTACTCACGCCTGCACTTGCTAGGCAAGTGTCCTGTCACTTGAGCCACCGCCCAGCCCTTCACAACTATCCTCTTCCTTTTCACAACTGAAACTGTCTCAAACTGAGAGGAAAATCATTGGTGTGGCACACAGGACTTTTTCCTCTGCGCAATTGAGAGTGGGTGTCCGCCTGGTGTCCCCTTCCCCAGAGACATTTGTATTGATGTCCTCGGGTTCTGTCCTGCATAGCCACTTCCAGAGTGTTTAGACCTGGGTTTCTCGGCCAGCCAGCCTTCCTCTCTCTTCCCTCCCTCCCTTCCTTTTCTTTCTTTCCTTTCTACTGGGGCTGGAACCCAGGGCCTTGCACCTGCCAGGACAGCGCTCCGACACAGCTACATCATCGCAGCTCTTTTTCTTTTTCCCTTGCTTGTTTTTTGAGACAGGTCTCATATGTAGCCCCGGCTGCCCTCAAATTTCCCGTCCTCCTGCCTCAGCCTTCCCATGCTGGACTTACAAGACACCTGCGTTTCCCTTAGTCTTTTCCCAAGCCGTGGAGAAGGAGACATTTAGAAGTGTGCCTAGCAAGCTAGCGGCAGGCACAGCTCTAGACATGTGATTATTTAAATCTTTGCTCACTGCTCATCTAGAAAACCTCCCAGTTGTCCAGTTGCTCCTGCCTTTTATTTCTTCTCCCCTTCCTGTGCATTCGGCCAGGTTATTTGGGGACAAAACATCATCATCTTTTAGTAGCCCAGGAATACCTGGGGACTTTATACAGAGCACTGACAGGGTACAACTGTCCAAGCGTGGACACACGTAGTGGGCGCAGCTGGCCGCATCTGTGGAAGCATCTTGGCAGTGTGGAGCTGCCGCACAGGGTACTTAACCTTTCCCTGTGACTGGTCGTTGTCATGCCTTCCTTTGTCAGGACCTGCTCTACGTCACCCCGACTCACATTCAGGCCGCAAGAGCCGGGAACGCCATCCACGCCATTCTGCTTTACCGACGCAAGCTGGACCGGGAGGAGATCAAGCCGGTGGGTGTCACATTGCTCTTTAGGAAACCGCTGGAATTTAAATGTGTGCTAAACTGGAAACTCAGTTTTTTATGTATTTATTTTTTGACAGTACTGAGATTTGAACTTGGGACTTCAAGCTTCCCAAGCAGGTGCTCTTCCACTTGAGCCATGTCCCAAAGCCCTTCACCTTTTAAACTTTTTTATTCTTTTTTTTTTTTTCTGTCTGGTGCTGGGGCTGGAGCCAGGGCCTTGTGCACGCGAGGCAAGCCCATCTCCCACTGAACAGTTCTTTCTGAGCTCCCTGAGGAGGGATAGCTGACCGAAGGCACCTAGTTCAAGTGCACATCTTGATGTCTTTATCCTTACACCCCTAAACCCATCACCCCGAAAGTTCCTCTGCCCCTTGGTGCTCTTTCCCAGGTGGCTCCCGACCTGATATAATTTGTAAGTGCCAAGTGTTCTTTTTTTTTTTTTTTCAGATTTAATTCATTCCTATCCTAAATGGACATATGTCTTATATTATGTAATTGGACATCTTTGTTTTTGAAAAACAAAAGCAATACCGCTGGTGAGCTACTCAGGATGAGCAAGACACACATCCACCCTGGCATGGCTCAGCAAGTCCCCACCCCATGTGCCACCCCAGGGAACGAGTGGAAAAGATTAAGTCAGGCAGGCCGTGTGCACAGAAAGCAAGTGCTGCGTTCACATGTGCAGTCTTAAGTTGCTCATGTGGAATTTTTGCTTGTTGGGTTGAAACACGTTTTTACTACAGATTCGTGTCCTGGGGACGATCCCGCTCTGCTCAGCACAGTGGGAGCGCTTGTTCAACACTTCTCGGATCCCCGGGGAGGAGACAGGTGAGTGCAGCACCCTCGGGTTCCCTTTGGGACCAGTGCTCAGTGTGGGGCGCTGGCCCAGGAGGGTCCAAGGGGCCAGGCTGATTTGTGGGGCGGCTCCCAAGCATTTAGATTCATGAGTCTTCCTTCCTTCCGTTGGACTTCCATTGTCTTTGTTGAACTGGGACGGACTTTATCGGCCTATCTCAGATTTTAATTTCTCTGCATTCAAGGGCTGTTGTGTTAAGCATTTTGAGACCCCCCCCCCATTCCTTGGGATTCTTGGGGATCTCGCATTGGCTGCTGTGCTGGGCTGTTGTAAGATGCACAGGCTGTGCTCGAGGGCCTGGGCTGTGCCTAGTAGCTGCCTGGGCTGGGCAGAGCGAGCATGTAATCTACCATCCACCCTGGGACATCCCTGAGAATGACGCCAGCTGGGACCATCCAGACCCCCAGGACTCAGGCTTGCTGTGTCAGTCACTTTAAGTTGCTGTGACAAAATACCCCAGTGCAAACTTAAAGGAGAAAGGATTTATTTTGGCCCCTGGCTTCAGTACATGGTTATTTCCTGGGCTCTGCTGTCTCAGGGCTGTGGTCAGACAGAGCATCGTGGCAGCTGGAGCACACAGTAGAGCACAGCTGCTCACCTTATGGCAGCTGGGAAGCAAAGAGAGACAGGAAGGGGATGGGACAAGTCACACCCTGGGGACCCACTTCCTCCAACCAGGCCCATCATTATGAACTCATCCATGGGTGAATCCTCTGATGGAGTTAGTACCTCCTGATCCTGTCACCTCTCAGAGGTACCACCAGCTGGAGACCAAGCTTTGTTGGGCAACGCTTCATATCCAAGCCAGAACCCTAGCTGTCTGTGAGCCTCCGTTTTCCCAAGTCTGTGCAGGTGGGCAAATAAGCAGACACTTGACTGACAAGCCAGACCCCATCTGAGACCACTCCAGAGGCCACTGTCACACACAGTCATCACTGATGCCCTAAAGTCGACTGGAAAAGGTCCAGCTAGCGTGTTGGTGCTGCCCAGGCTGTGGGCCTGCCCAGGAGCCACCCTGTGGATGCTGGCTTGTGGGCATTTCCTTAGATGGATTCCTTCGTATGCTCCAATGCTGCTTTCAGAGCTTCTTAAACTTCACTCCATGCTTGTCCACTGCTGACTAAAAGAGGATCCTCCTGTGTCCTCGTCACCCTTATCACCTGCCATAGCAGGGGAGATGCATGAGTGGGCAGTCAGCAGTGGGAAAGGCAAGGCTGGCTTCCTCCACTGTGTAGCCAGGTCTCCATGGCAGGAGAATCACCAGGGCATGATAAAGGCGGACGGGGCCCTTGAGGAGGCAAGTGTGGTGCTGGCATCTGCTTTTAGTCAGCAACTTGGAGTAGGGGTCACTTTTGTCAATCGCTGTTTCTGAGTTGGCGTCCCTGTCATCAGTCAGTGTCTCCAAGTGCAGGTCACTATTGTTAGCATTTCCAAGTGGGGTCCCTGTTGTCAGTCAGCGTTTGGAGTGAAGGTCCGTGTTGATCAGTGTCTCTGAGTGGAGGTACTTGTCATTGGTGAGTGTCTCTGAGTGGAAGTCCCTGTCATCAGACAAGTGGGAAATGCCAGCCTACTTCAATAGTCACTCCAGAATAAATACCAATGCACAGAAAACAAACAGCATGCTGGGACACAACAAGCCTGCCTTTGTTTTCTGGGGCCACTGTGACCAGTGACCATAAGCTGGTGTCCTAGGCCAATAGGACTTTATCCTCTAGTCTGAGGTAAAGGGTCAGCAGGACTGCGTGCCTCTGCAGCCTCTCCTGGCTAGCAGTGGGTCTTAATGTATGTTCCTTGGCTTGTGGACACATCACCTTGATCTCTACCGCTGCGATCGCATGGCCTCCTTTGTCCCTGTGTGGACTTAGGCCGCACGTGAATCCAGCCTGGCCACATCTCAACATCGTGACCCTGTTTCCAAATAAGAAATCAAGTCACACCTACAGGTTCTGGGGCTTTGGAGACACAGCTCAACCCATTACATCAAACATCCAGGTGTTAACAATAGAAAGACTTTAATTTCCTGTATTTCAAAATTATTTCAGACTATCTAAACAGGCAGATAAAAGGCTCACCAGAGAACAGAGTCAATATGGATAGCATTCTTATAAATCAGGCAGGAAACCAAGGATTCTAACTGGCCAAGGGCAAATCCCAGGAGCTCCCAGAAGGAGGTGTTTGGTGACTTGCGAAAAACCTGCAGCCTCACTGCTCACCAAAGAAATAAAACACCTCAACCTTGACCACTGGCCACAAACACCATTCTTAGGTGTCCCATCTGGTGACCCCACCCTTCACCTCCCACCCTGCTCACAGTCAGGTCATGCAAATTGACCACAATAAAAAATGGCAAAGAAAAGTCTGCGGTCGATGTCTGTACACTTTACATTCATCCTGCCAACCAACCACAGATGACAACACCCAGGAAAACATTTGGATATATTGAAGATGTCCAGCCTGTTTTCTGGCCATCATTCCCTCAAAAATACAGTAAAACAACAGTCACATGCCGTTGACATTGTCTTAGGTACATAACCCAGAGGCGACTTGAAGTGGACGGGTATGGTAGGTTCTGTGCAGATTCTGTGTCCTGTCACTTTGGGAGTTGGGGCATCTGGATTCTGACTGTGTCTGTCTGCTGTGGGTCTCGGAACCACGGCCCCCACAATAAAACCAAGATGGTTGCACCTTGGCCTTTTTCTATTCATTGACCTTTGTTGCTGTGTGATGGGGTCACTGCCAGAATTTAGAAACTTGAGAAAGAAGATAGAGCATTAATGTCATCTCTGAGAACAACTCGAGGACAGAAGCATTGCTCTGTCCTTTCCCTCCCCTGTCATACCTTGGTGACTGCCCCAGGCCCTGTCCCCTGTGTGTGGGACAGACTGGCTTGCAGGGAGCAGGAGGCCCTTCCAACCACTGGCTTTGACAAATTGCTCTCAAAGCAATTGACTGACATGCCCTCGAGCTGTCTATGAGGCACTCTTTTCTGCTGGACTGGGTGTTGAATTCAGGGCCTCCACCTTCCAGTTGAGCTGTGCCCCCAGTCCATTTGCTTTACAGTGTGTTTTTCAGATGGGGTCTCATGCAAAACCTCCTTTCTCCACCTCCCAAGACCGGGATTATAGGTGTATGCCCCCACACCCCAGCTCTTTTTTGAGACAGTCTCACTAACTTTGCCTGGGTGGGCCTTGCACTGTGATCCTCCTGTCTCTGCCTCCTGAGAGGCTGGGACTACAGGCATGCACCAGCCTATCAAGAATTTTTATTCCTTCTTTTTACCAATACGGGGTTCACTGGGGTCAGCAATCTTCTTAGATGTTAACTGGACACTTGGGTTCTATCCATTTAAGAAGTTTTATTCCTATAGCTTACGTACTTGAAAAGCAAGTGGGTGGTATGTCTTTCCTTGATACATCCTCGAGGCATTTGAAGATTCCAGAGGCTTCACTTCCACTGTCCCCATCCTCCTCTGGTCTTCTTTGTTCTTTCTGGTGCCCTTCGGTCTAACCATTCTCTAAGAGGAATGGATGTTCGTATTAAAACGGGCTAACAGCCCACTGATCAGCCTTTTCCTCTGGGCTTTTGTGCCTTGTTTAAAAATTCCTTTCTTCTGTGAGAGCATTTAACTTTTGCTCTGTTTGTTTATGAACTCTCAGTCTGTCTGGACTTTGTTTTTAGGTTTCCTGTAAGATTCGGATCTGATCTCATCTTTCCTGCATGCATGGCCCCTGTCCAGCCCTACGTAGAGGACCAGGCTGCCCAAATACATGCTCACAGCTCTCAGGCCCGGGATGGGCTGGCTGTACGCCCTTGTCCCCTCTCGGCGTTCATCTCCCTCTTCTTTTGTCCTAGCACGCACCTGTTTTAAGTTTTATAATAAAATCTTGCTAGGGGAAGCCTCCCTGCTTGGGGACTTGTCTTGGCTCTTTGCTCTTCCCCGTGCGGTTTAGGATTGGCCTCCACTTTCATGAAATTCAAGACAGTGGAGGAAAAATACCATCCTTGCCAAATTAAGTCCAGCTGTCTACGCTTGTGGTTTTCTTCTCTGCTCATCTGGGGCCTCGCTTTCTTTTTTTACAGAAGATGATTTGAATAAAATCTTGTGCTTTTCCCATGAGGTCTTTTGCAACATCTGTTAGCGTTACTCCAAGGTTCCTTCGTTCCTTTTGAATGCATTCTCCAGCTGTCGGTCAGTGGCAGTATGTTTCCTGTGGCCGCCATAGCAAAGTCCCGCAGCCTGTGTGGCACATGTTCCTCGCGTTCCATCATGCAGGCTGGAGTCCGAGATCGGGTGTCAAAGCCTGGCTCCTCCTGAGGCCGCTCCCCTTGGCTTGCAGATGGCATCTCCTCCTTGGGTCTTCACGTAGCTGTCCTCTGTGTCCGTGTCCTGATCTCCTCTGATAAGTACTCCAGTCATGGTAGGGGTTAGGGCCCACTTTACTGCCCTCGTTTTACCTTGTTACCTCTTTAAACCCTGTCTCCCAATATGGCCACATTGGGAGGTCCTGTTACAGTTACCAGTGGCCCATGGGCACCACGGTGTTGAAATGGCCTAGGTTCTTTGGGTACAGTCTCTAAAGGTAGAGCACTGTCCCTACTGTGGGAAAAGGAGAATAAGCAGGTGAAGGAAGGTATAGGAGAGGGGGGAGAGAGAGAGAGAGAGAGAGAGAGAGAGAGAGAGAGAGAGAGAGAGAGAGAGAGAGAGAGAGAGACGCTTATTATGAAAAGGAGGCTTTTGTTAGTCCACCTCTGAGTGAAGAGCTGTGAGGTTGGGGAGGAAAGGCTCAGCCCACTCAAATCGTTCTGGTGGGTTCCTTTGTTAGGCCACCAAGACTGGAAATCTGTTGCAGATAACCGGGTTTTTGCGATAACTCACCTGAGTGGCCCAGAGCCTGCGTGTAGGCAGCCTGGCTGTGCGGGCCCCGGGAGGGGCCGTTGTTAAGTTTGGAGCATCTCAGACGTGGGGTGGGCCCTCCTCCTTCTGTCAGTACTGGAGTAGGGGCTTCAACTTGGGGTGCGGGTGGGGGCCCTAGGGTATCTGAATTCAAATGAGTCTTCTTGGTTGGGCTCTTACCTAGCTGTGTGCTCACTAATCTAAACAGCTGTAGGGGTGTTTTGAGTTTTCTACACGGCTGATCTTTTCCGTTTTCTGCCCCAGCCAGGGTGTCAGGTAGGCTGCTGAACGTGAGCTGCACGGTGTGTTCCTCTCTGATTTCAAGGGAAGACCAAACCTGTGTTGGCTCCACGTGGCTGGTGGACATTCTGAGTGGCAGGAGGAAATCCCTCCTCTACTCTTGGTTTGCTAAAAACATTTTAAAAATAAGATCAAGTGTGGAGGGGGTATATTCTGGGCTTTATCTGGTCTGAGTCCTTAAATGTCACTTCCTTAGATGGTGGTGGCAGAGTTCTCTTGTCCCTAGGTGAAGCTGGATCCACTGTTCTGTGCTTTTTAGTCTCTTTTAGCACCGCCCTGTTTTTTGGTAGTGTTGGGGTTTGATCTCTTCCACTTGAGCTATGCACCAGTCCTTTCCGCTTTCCTTACGTTTTCAGATGGGATCTTGGTGCTTTTTGCTTGGACCTTGATTCTCCTATCTGCATCTCCTGAGTAGCTGGGATTATAGACGTGAGCCATTGTGTCCAGTCATTTGTCCTTTTTTTTTTCAGTATTGGGGCTTAAATTCAGGGCCGCTCCATCAGCCCTCTTTTGTGAAGGTTTTTTTCAAGATAAGGTTTAACGAACTATTTGCCAGGCTGGCGATCCTCCCGATCTCTGCCTCCTGAGTTGTCCCCTTTTTAGTGCGGCATTTACCCTGTCTTCCCCACTAGTTTCTGTCTCGTTCAGCTGTTGCTGTGCCCTGTAGCGAGTGGTATTGATAAATATTCACGGAAGGCATTTACTTAATCTCATTCCTGCTGTTTAAGCTTTTAGGAAGTTTTATGAACTAGCTTTCTCGTGTGTTTAATTTTCCACTTCTTTTATCAGAACATTTTCTTAGCTGCCCTATTATAATTAGTTAATAAAAAACAACTGCTTTTGGAAGCTTCCTGCACATAAACTTGGTATGCTCTGCTCATTAGTGGGGAGGGTATTAGAACCATCTTATAGATGGGGAACTCGAAGCTTGGAGAGGTCGGTGACTTGATCAAAGCCCTCCTGCAGTGCGTGGCCATGCTGAGCTTGGAAGCCAGGCTGGATTCCAAAGCTCCCAACACTACTGATGCTTGAGGAAGTCTTGGGAAATGGACCCGTTCAACTGACCACAGACTCAGGGATGAGAGCCGGGAACCTGTGCACCATTTACACGAGAGGATCTGATCATCTCACTGTCACTCTGATCTTTGATGTTGTGTGTCTTCCGTGTGCCTCTCCTCAGACACCATCCAGCACTTGAAGGACAGCAGACATGTCGTTGTGTACCACAGGGGACGCTACTTCAAGGTCTGGCTCTACCACAGTGGGCGGCTGCTGAAGCCCCGGGAGCTGGAGCAGCAGATGCAACGGATCTTGGATGACCCGTCAGAGCCGCAGCCCGGGGAGGCCAAACTGGCCGCCCTCACCGCTGCAGACAGGTGCGTGGCCACTCGTGTTCGTGGCTAGTCCAGGTGTGGGCAGATGCGCTTCCTCACTCCGGATCTGTCCCTGTTGGTGTCTCTGCAGTAGCACTGGAGCCTGACTAAGCCACGGTGGTAGGTGGGCCACAGAGTCATGTCTGATGTGACAGCAGATGTGTATGGAGAGATACAGGCAGGTGTCAGAAGTATGGGGGGGGGCTTGGGTTTTTCATGATGCTTTGAGCATGCTTATCAAAGTAGGAAGTAAATCAAAGATCCAAATATTGGGGGAGGGGGTTCTGCACTAGTGGGCCCTCTGTTCTGCAGTGGTCACCAATTTGGTGTCCTCTCAATTAGTGCTGACATTGTCTACCTGGAGGCAGCGTCAGAGCCCCTGGGCTGTCCCCATTTCAGACGCAGACTCTCGTCCAGGTCTCTGGAACTTCTGACCTGTTGGCTACTGGCTCCCATCACCCCTTTTAGTCTGGATTAACTTGCTAGAGACTCCCTGGCCTCAAGGAAAGACAGGTTCAGTAGAAGGGATGTCTTCTAGGACACAAGCCAGCAGGGTAGATGAAGGAACACCAGGGTTCCATTTCTCTTGGTCGTGTATCCTTGTTTCTCCACACACACATCTGCGTGCCACATGAGGAGATGGCCAAGGGAGCCCACCAGATCCCATGAAGTTGGGGTGTGCCACCTCCATCTCTGGCACACGCTGTCCACTGCTCTCCAAACCCTGCCCCTTGGGGTTTTATGGAGACTTTGTTGCAAAGCCTGACTGAAGCAGGGGAAGTGTGTCGCAGTGTGGTTGGGCACAGAGGGGCCACTCTAACACACTGGGAGGGGAACACAGCAGGGACCAGCAGGCCTGACTGTCATACTCATCTTGTCCTGTCTGGGCAGCCTTCCTCCTTCATGGATACAGGGCAGGACACCTCCCAAAGGGGTCATAATCAATTCTGATCCATTATCAGACAAGGCAGGTCAGAGAATTAGTGAACTTTTTTTCCTATTCCAGTACTGGAGCTGGAGCCCAGGGCCCAGTTCATGCTAAGGCAAGCTGTACAACTCAGGGATCCCTGACCCATCAGAAAATGTCTTTACGGTCAGCTAATCAATTAGCATGTATGACAATTTCCAGAAAAAGGAGTAGGTGGAAGAAGGGCAGGAGAAAGCCAGAGGGAATCCGCTCTCTGAGGCCTAAAGCCCCCCAGCATTACAACAAAAGGCCATCTTTTACTGTCATTGCCCTGTGACTGGGCTGAAGTTTTTTCAGGAACCAAGCACAAAAGGCCCAAACCTTCAATAAAAGAGATGCTTATTGTTCCAGGGGTTAGAAGCCAGGACCTGTGGACAGAACCAAAAAATACTTATCAGAATTTCTCAAGATTTCATTTCCTTGCTTTGAGGAAAAAGAATCAGACAGGCTTTTGTTTATTGGAGGACATGGCTGGTCCGAGGCCAGCAGAACTCTCAACCTCAGTTCTGTTTTCCTGGGACTGAGAGCGTCCTTTACTGGAGCAGTGTGGGATGGCCACATCTTAGCCTCTGGATGCAAGTAGCCACCTAGTTGTGACAACCAGAGGTGTCTTCAGCTATCCCAGGGCTACTGGGGACAGTTGTGGTACCTAGTCACGAGCTGCTAAGCTTCCAAGGGTAACTGTTAGGGTAGTATGGGATCCTGCAAAGACCAGGAAAGACTCAACCCTGGATGGAGGGACTGCAGGTGGGCTGTGTTCTGAAGACAGGGAGGAAGGGAAAGGGCCAGGGAGCCCCTTTGCTGCCCTGTTTCCTTGCAGATCACAGTCGTGACAAAAAGCATTTTGAGGGGTCTCACAAAAAAGGAGAGTTTGACAAGATGGAAGTTTAGTAAGGATTTATTTAGCAAAGTACGATAAAGTGGGGAGAGATAGAAAAGGGGAGACATGTCTACTGCTACACGTGCAGGAAATGGGAGTGTGGAAGACTCAAAATACTGGTTCTTGTCTGGGGGTTTATCTGGGATGCCATATTGAGTTCCCATGTGGACACACAGTCATGGTAACCTCCCAACCCCTAATCATTTTGGTAGGTTTCCAGGCATGGAGACGACGGGTTTAGGGTAGACCTGTTATTCAAAGCACAGCTAAGATGGGTCTTATCATTGCACAGGTGTCCAGGCACAGGTGTTATTCAAGCGTGGAGACAAGTGGCCTAGACCTACCCATGGCACAGGGACAAGAGGTGCAATATTGAGCCATCAGACTCGTCCTCTCATTTTCTGTCTCGGTTGAGGGAGATTGCCATATCTCTCTCTCTCTCTCTCTCTCTCTCTCTCTCTCTCTCTAAGACGACTTTAACTTAACATGGCAAGGGAGAAAGGGGTCGATGGAAGGGGAGTCTCTGTTCTGATTTTTTTAGCTTTTCTGCCTCGTTTTGTTCTGAGCCTGGACCTTTAAATGTATTTTCTTATTACTACTTTTAAATTTCTGTCACTTCATCGGTCTATCCTGCTTCAGAGGCAGGTCAGCAGGCCAGCGGGTGTCTGGGGGTAGAACCACAGGAAGGTGGTGGGGAGGGATGCGGCACCAGGCCAGGGAGCGTTCGGGATGCCTCGCTGCCTTTGGGCTGAATGCTGCCGTCAGGCATCCTTCTGGGGACCGGGTAGGCTGGGGGTGACATGAGCAGATTTATGAGAGAGGTTCTCTCTGGACTGGGTGGTTGAAGGTGGGAGGGGGGGGCCCCCAGAAAGCAGGGAGGACCAGAAGGAGGACTGCATGAGATGAACCCAGATCTGTTGGGGGAAGCCCAAGTTCTTCAGCACCTGCCTCAGTGCTGCCCAAGTGGTCAGAGCCAAAGGAGCAGCGCGTCCCGTGTGAAGGTGTGCGTAGGTGCACACGCTTCCCGTGGGCTCACTGGGCCTGGCGTCTTGGAATGCCCTAGAGCTGTGAAGCCTCTGAAGACAGCGGGCCCACCTCCTGCCCCAGGGCACTGTGGGTGTCCTCAGCCTGGATGGGACAATGCCAGCATCATGTTAGCCCCTAACACAAAGGGCTGAGTTCATGGTGTTTTAGTCAACGGGTTTCCACAGGGAGCACTTGACCAGAGAAGTGGGCAGGAGACAGGAGGCTAGATGACTCCCGTCCAGAAGAGTGGACAGAGGAGCCTGGGAATGGAGATTAAGGGGAGGAGCAGTAGGAGGAAGCTACACGGGGCATCTGTTAAGAAGGAAGAGGCTGTCACAGTCTCCCCTCAGCATGTAGAGGGACCTGTGGGGTCACGTGGTCACCCACAGCCTGCATGCAGGGTCAGATGGCCTGGGTTGGAATCCCTCCCTGCTACAAAGTAGCTGTGACCTAGGCTGTCTGTGCCCCACATCTAAAGGTGGGCGTGGGCACAGGAAAGATCAGCGACTGAGCTGGGGAGAGGCCTGGGAGCAGGGTCTGGCACGAGGGCCGGGCTCATCTGTGTTTGTTGTAACTTCTACTGCCGGGCCCGGTGTCGAGTGGACAGGTGGATCACGGAAGTGTGTGCTCTGGTCCACTTCACATGGCAGCTCCGCACAGCTGTGAACACAGGGCCATTCAAGCGTTTGTGGAATAAAAATCCCATAAAGTGCTCTGCTCCAGGGAACAGATGTCAGCAAGCAACAAGGCCCCTCCCAGCAAACAGTGCAGCCTACTCAGCAGGCAATCAACTAAATTATAACATGCTCTCCTGGAAAAGTTCCCAGAAAAGTGGCTCATGTCTGTAATCCCAGCTTCCCAGACGGTGGAGATCCTCCTTGATTGAGGCCAGGATAGCCCATATCTCAACCAACAAGCCAGCTATGCTGAAGGCTTAAGTAGGAAGATCCCAGCTTGAGGCTGACCCTAGACAAAAAAGCATAAGACCCTATCCAAAAAATAACTTAAGTGAAAAAGGGCCAGAGATATGGCCCAAGCAGTAGTGTGCCCACTTAGCAAGTGTGAGGCCCCTGAGTTCAAATCCCAGTATTGTTAAAAACAAGAAAGGGAAGGGAAGGGGGAAGGAAGGAAATAAATTCCAGGTAAAGAAAGGTTTAATTGTCATTGGGCACACCCTGTGTGAAGACCTGTCACGCAGGTGCTGCAGCTTAGACTGGTTTTAACCGTATTTAATTACTGCCGCAGGGTGCCCTGGGCCAAGTGTCGCCAGGCCTATTTTGGACATGGGAAAAATAAGCAGTCCCTGGATGCCGTGGAAAAAGCAGCGTTCTTCGTGACGTTAGATGAAACCGAGCAAGGGTATAGGAAGGAAGACCCTGAGGCATCCTTGGACAGCTATGCCAAGTCTCTCTTGCATGGTCAATGTTTGGACAGGTACCGTCCTTTCCTCCCCAAAGGCAGGGTTTCCTGTGGGCCCCAGAGGGGCAGTGGCCCTAACTATCTGTCCCTTGAAGTTCTCTTTTTTTTAAATTTCTTTTGTTCATATGTGCATACAATGTTTGGGTCATTTCTTCCCCCTTCTAGGGTCTCTTCTTCCCTTCCTGTAAACTCTCACACACATCTCGGACCAAGCATTTGGGGGTTTTTCCCTTCCCAGCCTGGCCGCCTGGCTTGGGCATACATGACGTGCGGCTGTCAGTTACCTGGCCCTGGGTAGAAGGCAGCACAGGGTAGGGCAGGGGTTGGATCTGGGGGCCAGCTTTGGCCTTGCTGCCCTCGGGCTGCTCCCGGCCTGGGGGCTTCGTGTCAAGTGGGGGAAGAGTGAGAATTCGGTGTCCTGTGCTTTTGTCCTTGCTCTCCGGGCTGTAGGGACATGGTGAGCATGGGGGGGGGGGCTGGGGAGCAAGGTCACTGGCCTGTCCAGAATGAAGCAAATGTACACCTTTGGGTAATTTTGGACACGGAAGTTCCAGGGGCACACCTTGTCATGCAGGTGGTTTGACAAGTCCATTACATTCATCGCCTTTAAAAACGGCAAAACGGGCATGAACGCGGAGCACTCCTGGGCAGACGCGCCCATCGTGGCCCATCTGTGGGAGGTGAGTGTGCAGGGGTCGCTGGACGGTGGAAGCTACCTTGGCTTAGCACTACTTGTCCCATCTGTAATAGGAGCTCTCGACACGTATGGAACGGCATGTGACGGTGCACCAAGAAATGAAACGCATTTCAGTCTGCTTTCTGTAACGCAGGGACCTTATGTAGTAGCACATGCCATGCCACCTCCTATGGAGCTGAAATAACAAAGTGGCCATCGGGCAGAACTGAAGCTCAGGTTGTTCCGAAATGATGGTCCTGTTGCCGGATGACTAGATTTTCCTACCTACCTGGTTTTAGCCCAAGTGGAAACAGGCATATTAAAATCTTAGTTTAAAAAAGTTAGCTGTCTCTTACTGAAAACATCATGGTTTTTTTGTTGTTGTTTTGATGGGACTGGGGTTTGAACTCAGGGCTTCACACTGGCAAAACATGCGCTCTACCACTTGAGCCACATGTCCAGTCCATTTTGCTCTGCTTATTCTGGAGATGGGGCCTCTTGAACTATTTGCCTGGGCTGGCCTTGAACCTCGATCCTCCCAACCTCAGTCTCCCAGGTAGTAAGGACTTCAGGTGTGAGCCACCAGCACCTGGCTGAAAACATCATTTTAATTCTTAAAAGTACAAGGTTGTTAAAAAACCACTACCAATCCAGGCACCAGTGGCTCATGCCTATTATCCTAGCTACTCAGAAGGCAGAGATCAGGAGGATCACGGTTTGAAGCCAGCCTGGACAAATAGTTCTGCGAGACCCTATCTCAAAAAAAACCTATCATAAAAAAGGGGTGGTGGAGTGGGTCAAGGTGAAGGCCCTGAGTTCAAGTCCCAGGACTGCAAAAAAGAAAAAAAAAAACAACTACTACCAAACCCCTATGTTCCTTTCCTCCCCTAACAGAGCTTTCAAAAGTACATGGTAGGACTGGTGTGGCTCAAGTAGTAGAGCACCTGCCTAACGAGAGCAAGGCCCTGAGTTTAAGCCCTAGGACTGCCAAAAAAAAAAGATCCATAAAAAAAGCTTCTTAGGATGGTAACCGAGCATGGTGGTGCACATCTGTAATTCAGGAACGCTAAGAATGCCCCTGAGTTCTGTGGCCACTCTAGAAAATTAATCAAAACCAAGGAGGGAGTGATGGGAACTCCGGTTTACATACAGCAGATTGGTCAGAAGGACAGGTTGCACCCTGTCTTGCGGGCACTTACGAGGGGCATGGCCTTGTGGGACAGAGCCCCCAACCAATGATGTCAGAACTGAGTTGAACTGAATTAAATTCAATCCAGGCTGGCATCTGCGGCAGAACGCGTTGCTTGCCTGGTGTATGGGACACGCCGTCCCCCCACCCCCAGTTTGGACCCTTGGAGAGTGTAACGGGAGACTCTGAGCTTGGGGTCTCTGTTTCTGATTTTTCAGTATGTCTTGGCCACTGATGTCTTTGCCCTGGGCTACACAGAGGATGGACACTGTAAAGGGGATACCAACTCCAGCATCCCCTACCCTACCAGGCTGCAGTGGGACATTCCAGAAGAAGTAAGTCAGAGCCTCCAATCATAGTTTCTCTCCTGCTGGGAAGCGAGTTTAATGCTTCCCACTGGAGTCTGTGGCTGCCTCCCAAGTGCCCCTGAGCCCTGCTGAAGCCACGGACACTGAAGCTGTCCATGGTCCAGGTTGCTGTACGCCGGCGTGGCTGCTATGGCAGCCTCAGTTTGAAGCTTTTGGCCAAGATTGCTGGCAAGGCTGTAGCTGAGAGTGAGCTGGGCGTCTGTAAACTCCTCGCACAAAAAGTGAAAGCCCAAAGCACATTGAGTTGAAGTGCTTTTTTTTGCGGGCCTAAGGATCGAACCCAGGGCTTTGCACTTACTAGACAAGTCAGGGGCTCTACCATGTCACCCATGTCCCCAGTCCATTCAGTTGAAATACTCTAAATGGCAATTTTATCATTTTCAAAACTTAAAATAGTTCATTTTTGTTCCCCTTAAAGAGCCTTAGTCTGATAGGTGGGTGTGGTGGTGCACATCTATAATTCCAACACCCAGGAGGCTGAGGCAGGAGGATGGTGAGTTCGAGGCCAGCCTGGGCTACTTAGTGAGACCCTGTTTCACAGAAACAAAGAAACAAGCAAAAGATTTTCAGACACAGTCCCGCCCTTGGGGAGGAGGTATTAGGGTTAGACACACCAGTCCTGGCACGACTGATCTAGGTAGGAGTCACTGAAGTCATTTTTGACATAGCAAAATCCCCTAGCTACTGCACTGCAGCCCTGAGGCTGCTGCGAGGTTGGACTCAGGTCCTGGCCGGCTCACCATTTATTACAAAATTCTTTTCAACCCATGTTGCACTAGAGTGGTTTTAGATGCACAGCAACACTGAGAGGAAGGCACAGAGATTCCTCCCACCCTGCTCGGCAGCTGTCCCCCACCCCAGCTCCTCCCAGTGCCACATGGTAAATCCATGAGCTCACAAGATGCGTGCTCAGTCACCCAGAGCCCACGGTTGACATTAGGGCCACCGTGGCTTTGTGTTGCACGGGCTGGGACAGCTAGGGGGTGTCTTGTGTCACCATCACAGCACCACACAGGAGAGAGCGTCACTCTCTGAGCCTCCTCTGTGTTCCACTCGTTCATCCTCTCTCCCTCCCCTGGCCACCAGCGAGCTTTCTGCTGTCTCCATGGTTCCTCCTTTCCCAGAATGGCTCTCGTGTGGCCCGCAGCCTCTGCACACTGGCTTCGTCCGCTTACGTTCCTCCATGTCTCTGTGGCTGCACAGCTCTGTTCTTTTCTATGCTGGGTAATATTCTACTCCATGGTTGTCTGTTTCTTCCTCAGTCACCACTGAGGAACGGCAATGGGCTTCATAGGCGGCACCCGTGACGGCTTGAAGCTCCCTGTGGAGTCTCACTGGGAATAGGGAACCCTCGACTCTCACCTGTGTCCCCCCCTTCTCACACCCCCACTGCTCCTCACTGCCTCACTGGGGCTTCTGGGTAACCTTTCCAGAAAGGCCAAAAGGTTCTGTGCGTGTCTGAGATCCACCCTGTCCTCTGCCGTGGGTCGTCACCTCCCTCTTCTTTCTCTGCAGTGTCAGGAGGTCATGGAGACGTCCCTGAGCAGCGCAAGGCTGCTGGCAAGCGACGTGGACATGAACTCCTTCCCCTTCCACACCTTTGGCAAAGGGCTGATCAAGAAATGCCAAACCAGCCCAGATGCCTTCATTCAGCTTGCCCTGCAGCTGGCACATTACAAGGTAGGGGCCTCCACACCTGCCCAGGCTGCTTCCTGAGCCCACCCCTCTCCCGAGCTCCGTGAGCCTCACCCTCCCACACCATGTGCAAGAATTTGGCAGCTCCCAGGCTCCTGTTGCACAGGAGAGAGCAAGTTTGGGAGACAAGCAAAGGGGAAGAATTAAACCCTAGAGTAAACCCCAAGTCCTGGAATGTGGCAGAGTCCAACTATTAGGACAAATTACTTCATGTCCCTGACCTTTGATGTCCTCTTCCATAAAAGGAAGAGGCTACTAGGAGATGCTCTGGGTCAGGCGAGGCTAACCTAAGAGCCCATGGCTTTTCCATCTGCTTTTTCTGAACACCTGCTCCCATGACAGCCCCAGTCACAGAAACAGCCTTGTGCCCATGAGAGGACAGAATGGCACTCCTGGGGCTGAGGAGGAACATTCTGCCCAGGGAGGGGCCCTTGGATGCTGGGGGCAGCAGAAGTCATCATGGCATTGGCAAGATATTTCCTGTTGCATTGTTTATTGGTGTTTTGTTTTTTGAGACAGGATCTCCATATGTGGCTCAGGCTGGCCTGGAATTCACCATGTAACCGAATCTCCATCCTCTTGCCTCTGCCCTTGGGCTGGGGTTGCAGGAGTGCACCACAACACCTGGCCTGTGTTTTTAATTGAAGTCTTTTTACGGTAAAATATGAGTGATGGAGCTGGGCGTTGGTGGCTCACGCCTGTAATCCCAGCTACTTGGGGGGCTGAGATGGAGAGGCTCAAGATTTGAAGCCAGCCTGGGCAAATAACTCGTGAGACTCCCATCTCCAAAATAAGCAAAGCAAAGTGGACTGGAGGTGTGGCTCGAGTGGTAGAGCACCTGCTTTGCAACTGTGAAGTCTTCGGTTAAAATCCCAGTCCCACAAAAAAACCAAAACCCAATGAGTAATGTGCACACATGTGACATCTGGCGTCCCCTGGGGACAGTTATTATTGCTGAGTCTGGCTCTGTGCCAGCTGCTGATATAAGTGCTTCCTTCACACTCCCCCACAGCCTCCCTCACAGGTGAGGAAACTGAGGTGCTGAGAGCTCAGGTGACTTGCTAAGGTGACAGTACATGGCAGGGAAGAAGTCACTCAGTGGCTCCAGAGTCCAAGCCTGGAAGCTCTATTTCCACAGCTACTGCTAAGAAAAGAACCAAATGCAGAAAAGTAAAAAGAGGCAACGCTGAAATCAGATAAACTAGAACGATGGCCAAACTGCCGTTTATAATTGACGGTCACACGGATCCCCGAAAGATTGTGACAGTCACAAAGCTTAGGGCTGGGGCGTGGCATTTGCGAGGTCCTGGCTCTATCCTCAGCCCTGCAAAAGAAAAACCTGGAAGCTTAATTTTCCCACCAATACGCACACTGAACTGCTTAACCCAAAAGCATTTAAAATGGAGCCCAAGCACGGCAGGAAACAATTCCGCTCTGTGTCCCCTACAGGTCACAGACTTATACCACAGGTTATACCTTGATGGGTGTAACAGAGGTTTTGGGTGAGGAACCTTGCCTGTGAATGTGCAGTTCTGGGCTCTGGAAGGAGGTGACACCTGGACACCCGTCAGTGCTCTCACACTGGTCAGGTCCACGCGGGGAAGTTCAGTCAGGGTGTGTGTGGCTGGAGTGATTGTCGTGGCATCAGTTGTGTCTTGGGTCAGAAACCAAGGTCATCCAGAAGCTAACTCCCTCCTCCTCCCTGCTCTTCCAGAGTCTGTGACACCTCTGCTGCCACCCATGGACACTTTTCCCTGCATACTTAAGGCCATTAACCTGCCACACTGAACTGTTTTCCCTTTCCCAGGACATGGGCAAGTTCTGCCTCACCTACGAGGCCTCCATGACCCGGCTCTTCCGAGAGGGGCGGACAGAGACCGTACGCTCCTGCACCACAGAGTCCTGCAACTTCGTGCTGGCCATGGAGGACCCCTCACAGACAGTAGGTGCCATCAGCCCGGGACAGCGTGCGCTGTGCGTGCTTTCCCAGGGCAGGGCATCTGGACACTGGCACGCAGCCTCTCCACCCTCATCATCTGTGTCCCTCCTCCCCAGCTCCTCCCTCCTCCCCAGCTCTTCCCTCCTCCCCACCTGCTCCCTCCTCCCCAGCTCCTCCTCCTTCCCAGCTCCTCCCTCCTTTCACAGCTCCTCCTCCTCCCCAGCTCCTCCCTCCTCCCCAGCTCCTCCTCCTCCCCAGCTGCTCCCTCCTCCCCAGCTCCTCCCTCCTCCCCAGTTGCTCCCTCCTCCCCAGCTCTTCCCTCCTCCCCAGCTGCTCCCTCCTCCCCAACTCCTCCCTCCTCCCCAGCTCCTCCTCCCCAGCTCCTCCCTCCTCCCCAGCTCCTCCCTCCTTTCACAGCTCCTCCTCCTCCCCAGCTCCTCCCTCCTCCCCAGCTCCTCCCTCCTCCCCAGCTCCTCCTCCCCAGCTGCTCCCTCCTCCCCAGCTGCTCCCTTCTCCCCAGCTCCTCCCTCCTCCCCAGCTCCTCCTCCTTCCCCACCTGCTTCCTCCTCCCCACCTGCTTCCTCCTCCCCAACTCCTCCCTCCTCCCCAGCTCCTCCCTCCTCCCCAGCTCCTCCTCCTCCCCAGCTCCTCCATCCTCCCCAGTTCCTCCCTCCTCCCCAGCTCCTCCCTCCTTCCCCAGCTCCTCCCTCCCTCAGCTCCTCCTCCCTCCTCCCCAGCTGCTCCCTCCTCCCCAGCTGCTCCCTCCTCCCCAGCTCCTCCCTCCTTCCCCAGCTCCTCCCTCCTTTCACAGCTCCTCCCTCCTCCCCAACTCCTCCCTCCTCCCCATTTCCTCCTCCTCCCCAGCTCCTCCCTCCTTTCACAGCTCCTCCCTCCTTTCCCAGCTCCTCCTCCTCCCCATTTCCTCCTCCTCCCCAGCTCCTCCCTCCTCCCCAGCTCCTCCTCCTTCCCCACCTGCTCCCTCTTCCCCAACTCCTCCTCCTCCCCAGCTCCTCCTCCTTCCCAGCTCCTCCCTCGTCCCCAGCTCCTCCCTCCTCCCCAGCTCCCTCCTCCCCAGTTGCTCCCTCCTCCCCAGCTGCTCCCTTCTCCCCAGCTCCTCCCTCCTCCCCAGCTCCTTCTCCTCCCCAGCTCCTCCCTCCTCCCCAGCTCCTCCTCCTCCCCAGCTCCTCCCTCCTTTCACAGCTCCTCCCTCCTCCCCAGCTCCTCCCTCCTTCCCCAGCTCCTCCTCCTTTCACAGCTCCTCCCTCCTCCCCAACTCCTCCCTCCTCCCCATTTCCTCCTCCTCCCCAGCTCCTCCCTCCTTTCACAGCTCCTCCCTCCTTTCCCAGCTCCTCCTCCTCCCCATTTCCTCCTCCTCCCAGCTCCTCCTCCTCCCCAGCTCCTCCTCCTTCCCCACCTGCTCCTCTTCCCCAACTCCTCCCTCCTCCCCAGTTGCTCCATCCTCCCCAGCTCCTCCTCCTTCCCAGCTCCTCCCTCCTTTCACAGCTCCTCCCTCCTCCCCAGCTCCTCCTCCTTCCCAGCTCCTCCCTCGTCCCCAGCTCCTCCCTCCTCCCCAGCTCCTCCTCCTCCCCAGTTGCTCCCTCCTCCCCAGCTGCTCCCTTCTCCCCAGCTCCTCCCTCCTCCCCAGCTCCTCCTCCTCCCCAGCTCCTCCCTCCTTTCACAGCTCCTCCCTCCTCTCCAGCTCCTCCCTCCTCCCCAGCTCCTCCCTCCTTCCCCAGCTCCTCCCTCCCTCAGCTCCTCCTCCCTCCTCCCCAGCTCCTCCCTCCTTTCACAGCTTCTCCCTCCTTTCCCAGCTCCTCCTCCTCCCCATTTCCTCCTCCTCCCCAGCTCCTCCTCCTTCCCCACCTGCTCCCTCCTCCCCAACTCCTCCCTCCTCCCCAGTTGCTCCCTTCTCCCCAGCTCCTCCCTCCTCCCTAGCTCCTCCCTCCTTCCCCAGCTCCTCCCTTCCTCAGCTCCTCCTCCCTCCCCCCAGCTCCTCCCTCCTCCCCAGATGTTCCCTCCTCCCCAGATGCTCTCTCTTCCCCCAGCTTCTCCTTCCTTCCCCCTTTCAAGGGAAAGTGCTAAGAGATGACAGTGGGGACACACACAAAGAGACTTTTGTCCCCACTGTGCTTCTGGAAATGAGATCATACGTGCTAAGAGTCTCCCCATCAGAATGGACCCAGTACATGGGCAGGGGACTAGGAGAGGACAGGTCATTGACTTCAGGGTAGGGAAGCCATGACTTCTCACAGGACCCTTTGTGCACACCATGACAGATAGCTCTAAGCTGTGGCCGGAAACCTTCAAGATGTCTTGCGTGGGTGGGTCCCAGCCTTCCCAGGTCCCTGTGTGAAGGGCACCACAGTGCTCAGGTTCTGTGATTTCTGTTGCAGAGTCCAAAAGAACCCAAAGCAGTCTTTTTGGGTCATATTTGAAGCCCCAGTGGTGCCATTTTAGCAGAGTAATCGGCCAGACCCCTGTGGAGGGCCCTGTACTACCCGTGGTGCCACAGGGAACCGAGGGGCAGAGCCTTGCCTTTGACAGTGAGCACTCAAAGCCCAAGCTTCCTGGCCCTGGCCACCAAGCAACAACCTGCCCCTTGTAGTGCTTCCAGGCAGGAATGTGAGGAAGGGGCGCTGGGCTCCGTCAGGACCCTGTGGTCACTGCCCACCCTGGCACATCTTACGGGGTCCCAGTTGCCTGCACTGTCAGACCACTGGAGGCAAAGTGATGGTTGCCTTCTGTTTGGGTCATAGCTCCAGACCCCACAGCTGGGGTGTCCAAAGTGTGTCCTTCCCACCCTGTGTCCCGTAGGTGGAGCAGAGGCTCAAGTTGTTCAAGCTGGCGTCCGAGAAGCATCAGCACATGTACCGCCTCTCTATGACGGGCGCTGGCATCGACCGCCATCTCTTCTGCCTTTACGTGGTGTCCAAATACCTCGCCGTGGACTCCCCCTTCCTTAAGGAAGTAGGTGCCCCCCCCCCCGGCAGGAACAAAACCTGGTACATCAGTTCCACCTCGCCCATCAGAACGAGCATAAGGAAAGTGGGCTCAGCCGTCACGGAGACGGAAACCGAGCGGTAGGGACGCAGAAGGCCTGACTTAATGTACAGAAGTGACCACGAGCCTCCGACCATGTGCCCTGAGTGGTGGCACCTTTGTTTTTAGTGTGATTTAATTGTAAGTTCATAAACTTTTTAATTCTTTTCTGAAGCGGATCTCGCTGTGTTGCTCTCAAACCCCTGGGCTCAGGCCATTCTCCTGCTTCAGCTTCTGGGTTGCTGGGGCGACAGGCTCAGTTACAAAATTTCATTTTTCACTGTGGCTGTATTTAATTACCAGCTTGGGAATGCCTGAAAATTCTGCACTTGCCTCGCAGGCACTGGCAGGACTGTGACCCCATTCTGATTCTGACTGACTGTATCTGCCCCCATCTGTCTGGGTCACTATATGGAGGGCTTGGTTTCCCAGTGCAGGGGCCCTGCCCTATCCTGCGTCCTCTCTGCAGACATGCTGACCCCAGCCAGTGCCTCCCTCAGGGACATAGACTTTTGGCGTTCAAAGCAGCCTGTTAACCAAGCAGGTCTCTTCTTGTGGCCCCACGGGGGACGTCAGGCACAGAAGAGGACGGGGATTGGGACGGTGTCACTTGAACATTCCCTTGTTTCTCTTACAGGTGTTATCTGAGCCTTGGAGGTTGTCAACGAGCCAGACCCCTCATCAACAGATAGAGCTGTTTGACCTTGAGAGGAATCCACACCACGTGTCTGGTGGAGGGGGCTTTGGGCCGGTAAGCATGGCTCTCGGGTGGCCCTGCTGATGTCACAGAGGGATGTGCTGGGTCCCCACTTCAGGCCCATCTTGTTTCTGAGTACCCCTCAGTACTGCTGGGTCTACCATCATAAGGGACTTGATGGGTTGTGTTTGGGATGGCTGGAAGCACCTTCTCAAATCTCCAGTGAGTTTTCATCCCTCGTCCTACAGGTGGCTGACGATGGCTATGGCGTGTCGTACATCATCGTGGGGGGGAACTACATTCACTTCCACATTTCCTCCAAGTTCTCCAGCCCCGAGACGGTACGGGAAAGACGCCCCTTTTGCTAAGGATGGCGTGTTTTTCTTCTTAAGGGAGTACATCTTTAACAGGAAGTTCAATTCAGTGTTCCACTTTTACTTGGTGTGGATGTTTTCACAGAGACGAATTTCAAAAGTCTCTTACCCCACCTTTGCAGGTCGCAGTGGCATTAAATGTCAACGTTGGCATGCACCTGTAACTTTGAAGCCCTGTAACATTTGGAAGGTAGCTAGGAATCGCGTGCAGGACACATAGGCAGGGCCCCCAGGTCCTTTGCGGGCGAGCACGTGACCTTCCTCTCGTATCCATTGCTTATCCCCTCCTTTCTATATTGTGCGTAGCCTGATAAGCAGTGCCACAATCACTTTTTTTTTTAAAGTAGGAGTTTATTAAAGATAATAAGGTTTATCAAGAGAGATACGAGTAATGGGGTGGAGGGGGAAAAGAATACTGGGGCATAACCTGTGTACCGAAAGCAGTGTTCACTTCTGTACAGAAAACTGATGTGTGCAGTCAGGAGCTGAGACAGGAAGGTTGTGAGTTGGAGGCCAGCCTGGGCTACACAGAGAAACCATGACTCAAAATGAGTGCTTACCCATGGCTTAAGACACGTGGCAGCCTGCAGGCCTGCTCACGTCAGCCTGTGGTCAGCCCGGGCCACAGACTTGTGCGCCTCTCTCAGACTCCTTGAACCTTTTCAAATGTCAGGCCACTCAGGGCCAGGCCTCACACGGGTCTCAGCACACCTCCGTGGGCCTCTTTGGATCATCCAGGGTGACGGGCCGTTGGGACTCCCATCACAGTGGGGAGCATCTAGGCTTCTGAGCCTAGGTCCCTCTGTGGCTTGGGGCTGGGATCGGCAGGATGTTACATTAATGTCCGAAGCACGGCTACCAGGTGCCAAGCCAGGACACACAGACACCTCGTGTTTAAGACCCACTGAGGGCTGGGATGTAGCTCTGTGGTACAGTGCTTGCCTAGCATGCGTGAGGCCTGGGGTTCGATCCCAGCACCGAAAAAGAAAAGACAAAAAACAAAACAAAACAAAAAAAACCTCTCCCTAAGACCCACTGAGAATGTCAAGTGCCCTTGTGGTAGGCAGGAAGCCTGGGGCCAGGCTTTGAAGCCTTGTCAGCCTTACAGAGGTGCCAGTCATCAGTTCTAGACAAGGCCCCAGCTGTTCCCTCTAGGGAAAACTGGATCCCCACCCACTGTGCCAGGCTTCAGGACTTTCCCCACTTGTCTCTCCTTTATCTCTCATTCCAGGTTTTTGAGAGCCATTTTTAAAGATTTAGCTTGCTGTTTGGGGCTGGCAGCCTAGAAGCTTTCTTAGGGCTGGCCAAGTAATTACAGGGTGATATTGCAGAGGCTGCCATCCTCAGGGATACGGTCACTGGTAAGAGCAAGCCCTGGACTCCACCTGCTCTCTTTGTTTGTGACCAGCACAACACCTGAGAGGTCTCCACCCTCCACCTTTTTCCAGATGCTCTCATTAAACATTTGGTTATTCCCTCAAAGTTTAGGGAATTGGCAGAAAGGAATTTGGATTCAACTGGGAGTCAGCTGACACACATAAAGGCTTTAAATGTGCGAATTTCCACTTGTGTTGTTGCTGTTGCACTGGAGATGGAGCTCAGGGCCTCCCACTCACTAGACAAGCGCTCTACCACTTGAGCCGCCATCCCAGGCTTTTTGTTTTTAGTTTGTTTTTCAGATAGGGTCTCACAGTAACTTTACCCAGGCTGGCCATAAACTGAGATCCTCCTATCTCTGCCTCCTGAGCAGTGGGGATTACAGGCATGTACCACCACGCTCAGTCAGAGTTCCACATCTTAATGTCTTTTTGCTTTCTGTGTTTAATCAGGACTCTCATCGCTTTGGAAAGCACCTGAGAGAAGCAATGAGTGACATCCTCGCCTTGTTTAAGCTCACCGCTAATTCCAAAAAGTAATTCCACTAGGCCGCACAGTGAGGGAAAATGGACTCTTGTGACACAAACCAAATGAAGAATAGGTATTAATCCTGATCCTAGTTCAGGATGAAAAATTGCTCTTAGAAAACTTAAAGAGTTTTCCTTCCAGAAAGCATTTATTGTTTTTGTCTCTCTAGAACGGTGGGCTCCACCGTGTGAAGTGTAACCCTACCACTTCCAAGCCTGGCCTTGCTTGGTCCCCGAAGCCTTTGCATCGGCTCATACTTATTCATGAAGGAATGAGTGGGGTTGTGGCTCACACATGGGAAGTGGAAGGGCTGCACTTCCCCGACGGTAACAAAATGGGTGTTTAACTTCACCCTGTGGACTTTTGCATTTAACTTGTGAAAAGAGAAAGTGTCACTGGCATTGGCAGTGACAGTAGTTCCAGCTCACTATAACAAGCTAGTGGAAAACACCATGCTTAGGGGTGGTGTCCACCCAGTGGGTGACTGTCACCGTCCCAGTTGGTAATCTGCACTTGCATCTCCATGTTTGAAGCAACCAGAGTACCACCATGGTCCCAACTTGCATGTCCTCAAAACCCAGTGCCTTAAGACAAAAGGTCCTCAGAGCCAGGGGGCTGCCAGAGGGCTTGAGGAGTCTTTGGGGGGAGTTGTGGGGTGCTGCTGCTCCCCTCTCAGCTTACTGAGTATGGGTGACCCTACAGACCGCTTGCTATGCTTTCCCAGCCCTCCCAGGGCAGGTGTCCCTCACTAGCCTCCTTCCTGTCATCATTAGACAACAAAAGAAATGACAGGTGTGTGAGAGAAGGGGAGCGAGTGACATGATACCCAGAGACTTAGCTGAGGACACACCTTGGTGTGCGCTCGGGATCACAGCTTCCCCAAACCCAGCAAACTAAAGAGCATTAGCACTTCCCCACATGACGGTGAGGAGAGCAAGACACTGGCCACCAAGAACTGAGCAGAATTGGGGGAAGGGCAGGTGGCCTCATGGTGGTCAGGAGTCGGGTGCCACACGCCAGCAGGGTTTCCTTCTCATCCCTCCTGCCTGAGAAAACAACCCCTCATTTCCAGAGAAGCCAGAGGTGGCTGCACACAGTAGGTTGGGTCATCTTGGTGACAGAGCAAAGGGTTGCAAGGCACGGTGCTAGGTCCACTCATCACACCCTTCGAGAGGAGTGACCACAAAGCAATTATGCACTGAGTCATCTTCAGCATTTAATGTAAACATAGAGCATCACAGAGCGACATCCCCGCCTCTGGCCTGTCGTGACAAGCCTTAGCTGTCCCGTTTTGAAGTGTATTTATTTCTCTGACCACTCAGTTAGTCCTCGCTCGGCTCGCTCTCTTCCTGCTTCTGCAGGGCTGGCGGCGTTGGCGAGGGGGGCTTGCTCAAAGCACATCCGCATAGAATGGGTGTACATTTTGTAATGTAAAATTCCCACCTCTTAAAAGCAAGAAAGAATGAACACAAAAGGCAAAAACAAGAAAAAAACTGACTGTGCAGTCAGGCAGGTTCTGGGGGGAGTGGCCCCGTCCTCCCAGGCTGAGTGTCGCTTCCAGCCACGAGGCCCAGCAGCCTCCATCAGAGCCACCTAAGTCCCACGCTAGTGACTGCTGACCAATCTGTGTTACCATGTGCTCACATGAATTCCAGTGTAGATGTGTTAGTGCTCAAACGTGTTTGGGCTTCTCTCTCAGGTTTTAAATGTTTCTAGTGTAATCGTTGCTAATCAGTGCAGCTGTCAATGCAATTTTCTATTCCTTAAAAGGGGAAAGAATGGGTTTTTATTGTACATGTCGGAAAGGGGGAGGTAAGAGTATTCTGTATAATTTGGAACAAACTGTAGTTTACCACAGCTGTGGCTTGAATTCCTGTCTTAATCCGTGCATTACATGTAAATACCATGTGCTCCTCCTTGGATGTAAATCTTATAAATGCACAGCATGGATGTAGGGTACCCTTAATAAAACATTACCCCTGTCTACTACAGAATGTGTTCTTGTCCTTTCCATGCTAACGAAAGGGGGGGGGTCATAGGGCAGGGTGGACATGTAAGTAGAAGCCATTGGTGTTAACTTACATCATTCATTCTTCCATCCCTTTGCTCAGTGCCTGACACAGTAGGTGCTCAATAAATATGTTAAATGACAAATTCCTTTTGTTCAGCAGGTTTTCTTGAGAATGCAGCCAGGACCCCACCAGGCTCTGGCTGTCACCCCAGTTCTGGTGGGAGGAGATAGAGGACTGAACCAGCCAAGTAAAGGATCCTCAGTATGGGCCCTGTGCAGGGTGCGGGCAGTGGAAACTGGCCCAGGAAGGTGCCTGATATACAGTGGGCTGGAGCTGAGGACTGAGTGACAAGGTAGAGCCAGCTCTGGCCAATCCTGCAGGATGAGTAGAGCATCCAGGAACAGCAGCAGGTACAGAGGTCTCAGGCTTCGTTCTTCTGAACAGCTTGGTCACACACCAGTGACTGCACACCAGGCACGATGCTACTCAGTGTCCCGTTGATGAATGCACAAGTGGCACTACCTTGCGGGTTGTAATAGTCAGGGTCCTCCCAATGGATGTTCTGGTTGGGCTCCTTGGCTTGGGTAGCCTCCTAAGCCTTCCAATTTCAGGGGACCCGTTAGATCTCAGCCCTGCCTCTCAATCACTGGGTGATTATTCCATCGTCAAATGTGAGTAAGACTGGCACATCCCCCTCCCCCCCCCACCCCCCGCAACAAGTACATAGCCACCAAGGGAGAAGGCTGGAAATAAACTTTTTTATGTTTGTGGCACTGGGGTTTGAACTCAGGGCTTCACACTTGCTAGGCAGGCCATTGAGCCAGCCCTTTATTTTTTTTGTATTGGGTATTTTCCAGATAGGGACTCACTATTTCCCGGGCTAGCTTCAAACCTCCATCCTCTTGATCTCTGCCAGTGGCATCCGACTCACAGCAAACTCTGACAGGCGGTGTGATTGGGGAAGTCACGCTTTTATAATACTTCTTTTAGCCAGGTGGCTGTGTAACATATAACGAAATAAGGGAAAAAGAGATCCTGATTTTCATTTGAAGAAACCACTAGAACTTTCTGAGGAATCCTGCCCTATCAGACAGGAGAAAATGGGGCGATTCTCCACCAGCATCATTGGCTGCTGGTGACATAAACAAGAGAAGGACTTCAAGTCGGTATCCTTGTAATTCTCTAGTTGCTTGCACTTTAGGTTGTTTACATAGCAATAGTCAAAATCTTATTACACACTGTAAAAAAATTTTAAGGTGCGCTCTAATGTCCCAGAGTAATTTTTCAGTTAAGGAAATCCTGGCTACGGATTTTTTTTTTTTTTGACTGCCCTTGCCACTCGAAATTTGAGAATTAGCAAATTCTTCCTGGGATTTTTTTGAATGCTGAAGCCAATTAGCACAGTGACAATCAGCAATTGATCCTCCACACCCGCCAAGGCTCGACTCCGGTCCCCGCCCCGAAGGCCCCGCCCACCCACGATACTCGGCCAATCGCAGGCCCGCAATTTTCCCACCCCGCCCGCCACCCACGATACCCGACCCATCATAGGCTCCCTTGAAGGCTAGACTCTGGGCCCCGCCCCCTTAGTGCCCCGCCCACTCAGATTCCCCCCCGGGCTCTTATAGGTTCCGCCCCCAGGCTCCGCCCCCTTCCCCGACAGTTAACGGTCGCGGAGCGCCAGGCCCGGCATTGTGCGACCCTCGCCCGGTTACCGTGTCGCGCAGCGGCAGCCAGGCGGCCCAGGTGTGTTCCTCAGGCGGCCCTCCGGTGCCTGCCCCCTAGCCTCGCCCGGAGCCCCTCGCGTCCCCGGGCCGGGCCTCGGGGCTGCGGGCGGGGAGGGGACGGCGGGGCGCTCACTGCAGCTCGTTGTAGGTGCGCGGCCCGCCTTAGTCGGATCCCGCCCGGAGCAGGGTGGGGCGATGCCCGGCCGCCCGTCCTTCTGCGGCCATGGAAGAGGCCCCTCTGCTCGGCGCGATGCCCGGGCCCGACGATGAGATGGCGACCGAGCTCTTCAGCGCCGAGCGCCCGTTCGTGCCGGAGGGCCTGGCCCTGAGCCCCGCCGTGGTGGTGAAGTCCGAGCAGGACGAGCTGCCCGTGCTGGGGGACGCGTACTTGGGCGCCGCGGACCCCGGGGAGCCGCTGCTGCGCGCGCTCAGCCCTCCGCCGGGTGCCGCCGGCCAGGGCGACGTCCCGGCCGCGCTCCTCGGGGACCTGGCGGGGCTCCCCGAGCTCCGCGCCCCGGAGGACGCCGCGCCGCCGCCCGCCTACAGCGTGCACGTGCTGTCCTCGCTGCTGCCGCTGGGCGCCGGCGTGCGGGTGATCCCAGTAAGAGCCGGACCCTCCCGGGGCCCCGGGGCCCCGAGTCCCGGGAGCCCATCCCCCAGCGAGGTCCAGCACGCGCCCGGCCACGCCCCCCTCCTCTGGGTGGACACGCCCCCTACCTGCAAGTGGCCACGCCCCTCCTTCCCGTAGCCCTTCGCCTGCAGGTGGCAACGCCCCGCGGCTATCGCCAGCTGTAGGGAGGAAGCCTACTCATGGGGGAGTAAGGAGTTCACTGTTTGCATCGTTGTAGGTTTTTAATTTGGGCTCCCGGCGTCCCGTGGTGCTGGGGATGGAATCCAGGGTCTCACGCATGCCAGAGTGGTTTGTTTCTTTTTTTTTTTTCCTTTTACTATAGGGCTTGTTCAGACCAAGGACTCAGAGTAGCTAGGTTTGTTGAGCCTTGAAATCAAGGTGTTAGGTTTTTCCCTCTGAATGAAGGAAGGTTCTTCAAACATACGCAGCAATCAGAGCCTGAATAAATTCTTGCTGCTTCGCAGCTAACTGCTGTCTTTAGCGATGGAGAGCCACTGGTGATTTGCTGCTTCTTGCTTGAAACTAACAGATTAGTTGCAAAGGAAAGCAAGAAAATGTGCATTGGTCCCTCAAAGGGATCCAGCTTGGAAAACTGGATTACTCCTCCCTGCAAGCATTTCAGTATCTCTAGGACAGGCCTTTGTGAACACTTGAATTAGTGCTGAGATGACTGGAGCCTGATTTCACATGTCCTAAATCACAGCTGCGGTGGCTGTAGGAGCTATGGCAGCTCCAGGAACTCAGATTTCTGCTCTTCTGGTTCTCTTAAAATCCTACTCACTGCTCCTTTGTAGCCAGGAAAAGGTGGCGCAGAGGACAGGCCTCCCCGATCTTCTGCTTGTCCCTAGACAGAGGCCAGGACAACAGAGGTCTCTCTCAGAACCGTTTCCAGGTGGCTCCAAACTTTACAAACTCCATTTTGCATGGCTGGGGGAGTGGCTCAAATGTTAGAATGCCAGAGAGAGGAAGGGGCGGGGCGGGAGGATAGAAAGAGAGAGAGGAGTCAGAGCAGTCAAAAGAATTGGCTGATGTTAAGCAAAGTTCTCTTTTAATGTAATCTGGGTTTGCAAAATAGAGAATTTTCTTTTTGAATTTTTAAGAACCATTTCCTGGTTCATTATGAAAAGATTGAACATGGATATGTTTACAGTTTAAACAGAATGGGATTATTTCCCAGTAAATATTCAGGGTGAATTACTAATTTCCTTTTTTTGGACATTTGTTCCCACCACTGGCCTTTGTTTAGATTCACTCTGTGAGTGCAATTTTTCTGTAGTGTATAAGGAGTTCAAAAACTCGTTGCATGGGGCTGAGGAAATAATGTATCTTAAGTATTTGCTGGCCCTAGGGAGCTAAATTAAAGCTAAACTTTGATGAGGTGTACATGGCAAGCTCCCCAAAGCAGCAAGCAAAAGAAAAATGTAAATTTTTCTGTATTTCTGTACAACTTGAAATGTCTAAACAAGGCTATAACTTAAAATATAGCTAAACTTTGCTCTTAAGATTTATACCTGGTGCTAGTCTGCTGTGCTAAGTTTTGTTTTTTGCCAATACAGAGTAATTGTTATTATTTGGCCTCTGTATTGCATTAGACAAACTCCAAGTTCAAGCCAACGGCCATATATTGGAAGATGGGTTGCCTATTCTGTGATTTTATGTAGAGTCATCTTTACCATAGAATCAAAAAGTCCTCAAAAGAGGACTGCCTCCTGGCCGATGGGAGGGGTTAAGAAGATGGGTGAGGGCGATGCCAAGGATGCACTCTCCCCTGGTCCCCTTGCATCCTTATCAAGTGTTACAAATAAGCATTCCAATTTGAAGCACTCAGGTCCAATGGTAGTTTTTTAACCACTGAGGCTCTTCAGATTTCAAACTCCAGAGATTTCCAGTGATCATTTATTTCCTCCTATTTTTGGTGATTTTACGAATGTGTCATTGAACTGACAGTTGTTGCACAGTATAGCTTAAAACCAAAGCTGACAGTTATTCCCACTCTTACTGGCTCTCAGTAATTACTGTCCTCCTGTTATGTCAGGAAAGGACACTGTGTAATTAGAACTGTCACCTTCAATGCATCACACGTGATAAATATAGAAGTAATTATGAATAATACTAAACCATCCCTGAGGACTGGTGTTTCTTCAGGAGCAGGCAAAACAATAGAGCATTCGCTACACCCTAAGGAGTGTGCTCGAAGTACGTGTGTTGGGGACATTTCAGGTGATGTAAGGACAGTCCAACGAGGCTTCCAGCTCCTAGTGCAGGAGGAGGGACCTTAAGCAGCACAAGGGGCACAGGAACACCAGGGGACTCTTAGTGACTTAGACTGTGTGTGCGTGTGTGTGTGTGTGTGTGTGTGTGCGTGTGCATGTGTGTGTGCGTGTGCATGTGTGTGTGTGCGTGTGTGTGTGCGCGCAGGGGGAGTTGGGGATGGAACTCGGAGCCTAGAGCCTGCTAAGCAGCTCTGGTCCCCTGAAACACACCCTGGCATCTAGGCTGTTGTGTTTTGGGGGGAGGGGGTCTGGGGTTTGAACTCAGGGTTTCGTGGTTACAAAGCAGGCACTCTACTGCTTGAGCCACACCTCCAGTCCTAGACTATGTTTTTGAGACAGCACAAGCACCATGTCAGAATCACAGCTCCATACTTCATGAACAGGTGATTTGGGTCCTCAAAATCTTTGGTCCTGAGTAAGTCTGGCCGGATGACTTGTCACCCCTTCTTGTTGCCCTCTGGGGAAAACAGTGGTTTCAGAAGCCCCAGTGGGGAAGGGGGCACTCTTTACTTGGACACAAAGTCAGATTTGAGTTCTCTGTGTTATCCAACTCCAAGAGCCAATGTCCACAGAGTCCTCTGACATAACTGCTGCTTTTTCCAGGTTGAAATAAAGGACACAGGTGGCACTGTTGCCAGTAGCAACCCAGAGGAAGCAGCTTTCCAGAACCCTCTGGCTCAGGAGTTCTGTTGCAAATTCCCATCATCCCAGGAGGCAGAGGACACCTCTGGCTGCTCTCGCAAGAAAGACTCAAGCCCGATGGTAACTAAGGGGAAGAAAATGTGCAAGACTGACATTGTGACAAATGGCGCCCATGGTCACCAAGCCATCAATTTGTCCAGTTGTGCCTCTCATTTGGTTTAATTGTTGGGTCAGCACTTTTGGCTGTCTTTGCCTAAAAAGAGGGAATGTCAACTAGAGCCTTTCACCTTTAATCTTTCACCTCTGAGGTTCCATTTTGACCAGATCTAGCAATCAAACACTGATGTATTCATTAAGGGGAGTGTAACCCATGTGGCATCAGTCCACAAGAAAAGGGGTTCGGGCACCGGAGTGGGCGCAGCAGCTGAACACTGTGGTTTGGCTTGCTGGGGGCATGGGCTGCAGTGTCCTGGCTTCTAGGCAGAGTCTGTGAGCCTTTCTTCCCTGCCTCCAGGTTTCTATTGCCAGCAGCTTACGTGGGAAGGACATGTAATTGGTCTCCTTTGGTTGCATAAGATTTTTGTACCTGTGTCATGTTGTTTCATCCTGCCAACACCCTAGGGTGGGCATTATTTTTACCCCTATTTCATGGATGAGGCAACAGAGTCGTTAACATGGCCTGCATTCGTCTTCTACATTGTAAGTGGTGTGTCCAGAGCACCAGATCTCACTGAGGTGAGGAATAGGCCTGGGGTGGGGTGGGATTGGGTGGAGGATGCAGGGAGTCCACTCCAGCACTCCTTTAAAAGTGCTCAGAGTCCAAACAACCAATAAGCACTTCCTTCCTGCAGTTCATCCACAGAAGGAGGCCCTGGATCTAAGGCAGAGGCTTTGTCCAGGAAGCACTTGAAATGAGCTCCCCATGAAACTTGATTTGCTATGCAAATACTACCTGACCCTAGCTGGGACTCAGTGCCCTGGGGTCTGATGGTAGGGCTTTTTTTTTTTTTTCTTTAATTAATTTATTTAATTTGGCAGTAATGGGGTTTGAACTCAGGGCCTCATGCTTGCTAGGCAGGTGCTCTGCCGCTTGGACCACACCCCTGGCCCTGATGGCAGAGCTCTTCCAGGACCCCTGGACAAGTCAGCTGGATGAGGACTCTGATTCCCCCAGACTGCATCAGCAGATTCTCTTGGGGGTGTTGAGCCCAAGAGTGTGCAGCACAGAGAGGCCTGGAGCCCACTCTTAGCCTTCCCCAGCCTAATCTGTACACCTGTGTGTAGCACAGCGTTGTCCTCCAAATACAAACACAGTTGCAGCTGGGCATTAGCACTGACCTCTCGCTGAGGAGGGTGACTTGAAGGGTCTGTCCTTCCTATACAGTGGGTTCTGTGTGTGTTATCTGTGACATTGACCTTTTTGCCCATTTGGGACTTACTTCCTAGATTATCAGCAGCCTAAGGGCTAAAACCATGGCTTCTCTTGTCTCTGGGCCCACACCACTCGTCCAGGAACAGGCTGGGGGCACAGTGAGCTCTAGCTGTGCTTTTGGCTGGTGGGACTGACTGTTGGACTCACCTGGTTTTTTGAGGGTTTATTAGTTGTCAGAATCCAAATGGGAGAGCTGATGGTGCTAGTCAGGCCTAGGAAGATCAATGTGGCTTCTAGAATTTCATTTTCTCATTCCTGAATTAGCCTTTCTAAACCATCCTCATAGGAAATAAAATAAGTAAACATGAAAAATGATGACATGTGTGGCAGGAAAAGACACTGTAGCAAAGTTAGAATTTATTCTACAGATGGGCCCAGCCACAGAGGGTACCAAGGGGAGAAATGAGGTCCAAATGAGCTAAGGTTTGGAGAACAGCACTCTCCCTTGTAACATGGGCTGTGGAGTGAAGGACAGGGCGAGGGAAGCTCTGTGCATGGCACCTGGCTGGTGTCTGGGCCAAGTCCCACTGGGTAGACACCTGTGGAAGAAGACAGGAAGAGGCCCTCAGCACATGGAAGGCACCGCAGAAACACCTCTGCGAGGTATTTAGGGAGCAATTGTTGTAGAGGAAGAAATGAAAAGCAATCTATAATTTTCCCTCTTCCTCTGAAACTGAAATCCTGGACTAGAGCTCTTCTCTCATGTAAGTTTATTGAGGCTCACTGTTCTGAACAATGAACCCTCATCACTGGTTTCCATTGCAGGTGATTTGCCAGTTGAAAGGAGGCACACAAATGCTGTGCATAGACAATTCTGGCACAAGAGAGCTAAAGGCGCTCCACTTGGTTCCTCAGTACCAAGATCAAAATAATTATCTTCAGTCAGGTAGAGTCAATGAATGAAACGATGTCTTGTACTATAAGTGAATGCGTTTGGCCTTATAGTTAGAGTGAAAGAAGCAGGTCTCAGGAATGTTCTTCATGGAACTCTTGGGTCAAAGAAATACCTTTCAGCTCCATAAGTAGCTTGGTCCAAATAGCTTAATCAGTATCTCCTAACAACCTAGTAACTATTTGAAGAAAAGCAGGCACATAAATTGAAAGTAATTCATGTGGTGTCCAGCAACTGTCACGGGGCTTTCTTTGAAAATGTAGAATAACCAAGGGGGCCCTGGTGAATTTGCTGGGGTACCCAAGGGCACTTGGGAATCTGGGCACTAACAACATCTTTAGCACAGTAGATTCTCCTTGGAAACTCAGGTCAAGCTGTTTTATGATGGAAAACAACAAAAGCTGGCTCAGGTGGCTCATGCCTGTAATACCAGCTACTCAGAAGGCAGAGATCAGGAGGATCGTAGTTCAAAGCCAGCCTGGGCAAATAGTTGATGAGACCCTATTTCAAAAATTCCCAACACAAAAAAGGACTGGAGGTGTGGCTGGAGCAGTAAGAGCACCTGCCTAGCAAGTGTGAGGCCCTGAGTTCAAATCTCAGTTCCACACACGAAAACAACAATAAAAAAATAGTATAACTAAAAGAATCCATTGACCTGGAGGGTTTTATAGCTAATGCAAACAGAATCACGATGAGTGTAAATAGCTTTGTACATAAGTCCATAATCCATTTTCGTGCAGGTAGAAATGATACAGACTATCAATTAATTTTAATTGTCTTTCTTACAGATGTCCCTAAGCCAATGACTACTTTAGTAGGAAGATTTTTGCCAGTACCAGCAAAATTAAACCTCATTACACAACAAGTGAGTCACTGTTCAGATACAAAAATGCAATTGGGCGTTATTGTTTCTTGAAATTTCAGTTGTTGATGTTGGAATTATTAGGAGAATATTATTTTATCCTCCAGTTTAAAATCAGCAGTAAAACATGTATCAAATATGCAATCCTTTTGCCCCATGTCAGACAATGGGCTGGATGGAGTGTCACAAAGTGTTGCCCTTTCCTCTGGCCTCCAGTCCATCCTGTGCCCTGTTGCTGTCCTTGTGCTCAGCGTTCTGCCATCCCTTTCCTTCCTCAGTGCCATGGACTTTTTTTTTTAGCTTTGCTTTTATGATGACACCATAATATGCATGGATTACTTATCATTAGAGAGATGTGGTCCTTTCCTCAAGTCCTGCCGTAAAGTGTCACCTCCTCAGCAGAGCATGAACAGGCAGTCACTGTCACAGCGTCTGCCTCAGCTCGGCACACATTGTCAGTAACACCCTGTATTTTTCTGCTTGTTTCTTTGTCTCCATCTATCCGTGGTATGCAGGCTCCATGGGAGCAGAGGTCCTGTGTGTCTTGTCCCTCTCTGTTACCTGAACCTAGAGCGAAGCCTGCACATAAGGCATTCCTATACCCCACCACCAGGCATCAGTGAGCTAAGGGAACCCCAACTCCACTCTCCTGCAGCTTACATTTTAGTGCAGGAGACATACAACAAGCAAAGCTAATAAATAAGTAGACTGGGTGCTGTGTGCAGAGAGCAGAGGGAAAGACTTGGGGGACGGGGCCTGGTGGCAAGAGGCAGCTTGCAAGTATAAACAGGGTGCTCATAGCTCCATGGAGGTGACATGAGCAAGACCTGAAAGAGCTGAGGGAGCAAGCCATGTAGTTCTCACAGGAAGAACATTCCGGGCAGAGGGAGCAGCACAGACCTGGGGTGGGGGTCGAATTGTCAGATGTGGTGAGAGCAAAGGTGGCCACCCAGGCTGGGTGGAATGAGTGAGAAGGAGGGTAGCAGGGGGATGTCCGAGGGAGGGACTGTGACTTTCCCTCTGCTTGGGAAGGGTCTGGTTGGGGGAGGGTTGTGGTAGCAACAGGTCATCCTACTATTGCTGTGATCTTGGCAGCTCAGACCAGGTGGTAGCCACAGAGGTGGCAAGAAATTGCTTCTCAGGATACTTTGAAGGTTGAGCCAGCAGGATTTGTTGTTCGGTCCAATGTGAGATGTAAAGAAAGAGGCTAAGGCTGAAGTCAGACATAGACATGGCTCCTGGCCAACTCGGACTGTTCTGCCCTCCTTCTGCTTCAAGACCATTGTAGGTCCGTTGCTGATTTCCACCCTGAACAAAGGGAAAGGTGGAGTTTCCATCAGTGACATGGGCTGGTTCAGGTTTTGTGAGGGAACTAAGGAATCCCGTCTGCTGTGTTGACCTGAGGTGTCTCAGGCAGCCCGGGAAGAGGTTAGTAGCAAAGTTGAGAAAAATCAGGATAGAGTGACAGAGTCAGGAGTCACTGGCACAGAGGTGGTGTTGGAAGCCATGCGAGCAGAGGAGGTGTGCATCCTTTCTTAAATCCTAGGTTAGCCAGCAGGAAAGAGGGTACTAAGCAGTGCTGGCAAAACAGGTCTGTGCTGGGGCAGGTGAGCACGGCCAGGGAGTCTGCGGTACTACGTCAGACTCCACCTGTTGGTCCTGTCCACCCCACTGGCTTTCCTTTTTTCACCATTGCAGCCACCAAGCCGGAGGGCGTGCTGGCTCTTCCATCTCCTAACATCTCACACTAGAAGTGCTCCTGTGACCACAGCCTCCTGCCTCCCCCTTGTCCCCATCTTTCCCTGACTGCTTATTATTTGCCCATTCTGATTCCGCCCCCCTCCCATTTCTTACCTAGGATAGGTCTCAGGGACAATTCTTTTTAGCAGTACACTTGCCATGGCCCAGAATCTCTTGCTTTCTTGCCAGACCCCCAATTCTGTCTATTCTTTAGGGCCTTACTACTCAAAATATGCCGCACAGACCAGAACTTTGCTATTTCCTGGGAGCTGACTAGAAGTGCAAAGTCACAGAGCCCGTGCTGGACCTGAGTTCAGACCCTCTGAGGCAGAATCTGCATTTTAACACACTCCCAGGCGATTTGGGCACACAGTTTAGTATGGAAGCCTCACCTCAGAGTTCACTTTCTTCCCTCCTGGGAGACAAACATGGCTGAAGAAACAGATTCTGGGATCAAATTGCCCTAAATTTACAACCTACAGAGATCCCAGAAGGCATCTCTGTGTCTCTGCCTGACTTTTGGGCTAAATAAGCAAAAGGAAAAAAAAAAAAAGACTTCACCTGGTTTATTCGAAGAATTACCTCCTCCCTGAGAACTGAAATCCCTTCTCCAAAAGAACACACAGCTCTAACAGTCAGGTGTCTGGTTGACTGTAAGATACCAGTTCTAGTCACTTGGGACACTCCCTCTGACGCAGAGTGAGGGGTGAGCAAGCCAGACAGGAGAGGGGGACCCCAGGTCCCAGGGGAGAAGTCCGTGAGCCTCAGGACTCTGTCAGGTGGTAAAGGCACAATTGAAAAAGAGGCAGAAGTGAAAAAAATGAAGATGTATGCTTTTTTTAAACAAAACTTTTAAAATGTCCATTTTTGGAAGGCAGAGTGGAAAAGGAGACTGAACTGGATAGACAGATATCTTTAAACCTAATTTTATCTGCTGCTTCCAATAAGAACATTTGGCTGCCCACCCATTCCCTGTGCATTAGTGAGAGAAATGACAGCGGGGAAACTCAAAGCAGAGGAGAAGAGTGACATGAAGATTGTGATGGTGCTTTTAAATTGGTTAACACTGACTACAAAATAATTTTTTAATAGAGGAGAAAGAATTTGCCAATGAGACTCAAATATCAATCTCTTGTTATATGAAGAATATAATAATTTTAGAATGCGGGTTTTTGTTGTTGTTTTGGTACTGGGGCTTGAACTTGGGGGCTACACCTTGAGTCACTCCACCAGCCCTTTATGTGATGGGTTTTTCGAGATAGGGTCTCGAGAGCCATCCTCCTGATCTCTGCCTCCTAAGTAGCTAAGATTACAGGCGTGAGTCACCAGTGCCCAGTGAAGAACACTTTAAGTTTATGGAAATTTACCTAATTGACTTTATTTCACATTTAATAGTTCATAAAAATGAAAAAGAGTTCCTTTACTGTATCCCCAGCCAGCCACCTGATGGCTGCATGTACTGCTCTCTGGCTTGTCCATGGCAGCCCTGTGTTCCCCACATACTTCTCTCTTCTCTGTCCCCATGGTCAGGGCTTTTGTGTTCTGGGGCCTTGGGGTCAGTCAGGTCTATGAGAGGGCCTAGGCATTGTGGGCTAGTGACTTCTGTGGTAACGAGGTCCAGAAGTGACTATAAAGGATTGTGATGTAAACCTCTAGATGAAAAAGGGTCATTTTTGACAATTCACAGGGGCGGGCGGGCTGCCTGGCACTTTGAGTACAGACTAAGAGAAAACATTCTTGTCTTCCACTTTGTACAGCTTGATAACGGCACCCTTCCATCAGCAGTCAACGGACCGGCTTTCCCCTCGGGACCGACTCTGCCAGGACCACCCAAAATAACTTTGGCTGGGTAAGAATTCAAAGCAATAAATTGTCACTTTCTTTAATGTAAGAGGGACATTGGGAGAATTAGCCTCACCTCCAAACCTGAGCAGTGGCACTGACATGCCAATCTGTAACTGTCATTTGTTTCCACTGCACGGTCCGCTGTCCTGTGCCAGTGTGTCAGGGACTTGTGGCTCTGTCTTGGTTTCACATGGATTCAAGTTGTGCTGGTCTATTTTTTTTTTTTCTGTCATCAATGCAAGTCATGAAGCATCAGTCACTTAATGTGGATGGTGGTCGGCAGAGTGGCCTCTGCCCACCACCATGCTAAGTCAGTGCACGCTGTGTGGCAGCTCTGCGTAAGTCTGTCCTTGTGATCTCCAGGCAGACACAGGCTGCACTTAGCTGGGACCTTGCCTTGGCATTTTAAAGTTGGATTTCTAATTGTAACTAATTAGACTAACTGAGCTGGTCGGAGCGCCGTATGTTCACATCTGTATCCTGTGTGCTGACTGTGGAGATGAGTGTGGCCCACGGTCAATACTGGTATGCATCTAGGGCTGAAAGACAGCAGGTCAAGTACCTTACAAAATGCATTCAACCTCTGGTACCCCGTCCCGGCCGTGGTAAGTGTGAGGCAAGCTGTTTTGGGAACAGGAATGAAAGACTGTTAAGTGAGCCAACAGCTGTGCAGGGCTTTGGAGACAGGCAGTTCAGACCACACTTTGGTCTCTGTGGTTGTCACTGCAACCTGCTGCTTAGGTTTTAGTGGTGGCTCTTCCAGCTGGTGCAATGCTGTACCAAGTCGGCTGATGACTTTCAGTGAGTGAGCTGGAGTGAGTGGTCATCTCACCATGGCTGTTGACATTTCTGGGTGAAACGAGAATGCCCTGAGCAGTTTCCAGATCTTGCTGATTGCATTAGGTTTCAGGTCACAAGGGTGGCCTGAGTTGTCAGAAGCCACAAGGTGCTTCTGTAGCTTTGTTGTAATTGGGGGCACCTGGTCATCTGAGTTGCACCACTGCATGCTTTACCATGTCAAGAACAAGCAAGGGAATTTGGTCCTTTCACACTCTCTGGGCCTCACAACTGCAGTGCCACCTGAGGCATTGTCGGTGTGGCGATGTGCACCTGCACAAAGGAGCAGTTTCCTCTGTCACACATTTTGTTTCTTTTCTCCCCTATCCTTTCCTCCTCCTCCTACTCCTCCTCCTCTTCGGTCTGTATTAGTTTTGCTTAATCAGTGCGTATTTTTCTTTGCTGAAGTACTTAGGCAGGCCACAAAAGCTTTTCCTGTTGTAACGATGTGTCAGGAACAACATGAGCGTTGTGTTTGTATTATTTTGCAGCAATAATGACCTGATTCCCCGCACTCCGCTGAATCAGCCCTGATGAGTTTTATCTCATCATTCCTAGTACTGGAACTTCTGCCAATTTGTGACTTGCAGGAAGGGAGCAGTCAGAGAGAGCTGTCAGCTGTGGTGTCATTCTGTAGGGATTCCCGACTATGGCTGCTTAACAAATCACCTCTTCCCCTCCTCATCTGCGTCCTCAGCCCTCTTTGATTTCCACAAGATAACAAGGTTGAACCACATCTGAAGAGATCAGAAAAGAACATCAGCCCAGAATGGTTCCCGCATACCTGAGCTGTTAGATGGCAGAAGCAGCTTGGCTGGGTCTTAAGGCTGATGCATGGCCTGACCCAGTCATCCTTCTGAGAGCTGGCTAACTTATTAACCTTCTGTTGCCATCTTTCTAAAGCCCCTTGGAATAAGCATTCATGTCCTGGCACTCACTCTGAGTAGCCTTAATACTCTGATTATCAGTCAGGTAACTGTGACACACGGTTGAAGCTGATTTTTTGGTGACACACTGAGCACCATAACAAAGAAGACCAGGAGCCTGTGACTCTGGAAACTTTTTCCTAAAGATGACCTCATACCGTGCTCATGTATCGTTCATTTGTAATGCTTCTCTGAGATGCAGATTTCCACATCTTGAATAAGCCTTCTACCGCTTTAATTTTTAGCTTGGCATGGAGAGGCAGTCAAATTTAGAACCAGGGTCGTTTTCCCCATCTAGTTCTCCTTACAGTCAGCGGGCCCCTCCTGTACCACACTCTGTCACTCCTCATGCTGCTGTCACCGAGAAATCCTTCAGCCTGCAACCTTGGAAGTCCGTTTCCCATTCAGCCACCTTCCGCAGTACTTGTTTGAACTTCTTCCATCTGTAAACTGCCATCCTGTCACTGGACTCTTGTAGCATTTACAATAAGTACAAGTCAATTCAACAGTGGATTATATACTGTTCTGTTCTCAATTTGCTATTGTCCATGTCCCCAGGTATTTGGTAGACTCTTCCAGGAGACACACTGTGAATATAAAAGATACTTATTTTTTGGTGTCCTCTGGAGCACATCCTAGCTGCGAGATTGCCCCATACTCACCGTAGTTCTGTCAAACTGTATTCCCTCCCTCCACAATTCTGGAATGTCTCCATGTGCCCAGCCCTGTTGTCTGAAGGAGAGTTATGGTTCCTCTAGACAGAAAGTGCCAGGCCTCCCTGTGTCCTAGCTCAGGGAAGGTCAGAGAAGGCTGAGGGCTGGACCAGTGAGGTGGTGTCAGAGTCCTTCCTCTAAACAGGCCCACATGTGGGTACATAGACCTGCTGCCTCTAGTCCCCATGAACTACGTAAACGCCAAGTCAATGCAGCATTTACCAGGGGCGTGGCTCAAGTGGTAGCAAGCACAAGGTCCCGAGTTCAAACCCCAGTACCTCCAAAAAAAAAAAAAATACAAAACTTTCTGACATAATCTTTAAGATGGGAGCTATTCCTCAGATGTAACCGTACGGGAAGTACCATGAGTTGTGTGTTGGGGGCAGGTGTCATTAAACAGGCACAGATGGTGAGAAAAAAAGTAAGAGACAAAAAACTCACCCAGGTGGAGTCAGAGGCAGAGCAGAGAGAGGAGAGGCTGAGCACAGCAGAGCCGAGAGTGGGCTCAGAGGAGCGAGGCCAGGGCGAAGGCTTGCTCCTCTCCGGGCATTTGCATGAAATATACCCACGTGGTAAACAGCACAGATCACATGCCAAGTGCCCTTCTAGTTCCGCAGGAGCCCCCACACCTGATGAGGCCTTGCCCACCTGAAGAGGTGAAGCCTGCCATGTACTCTCAGGGGCTCGTTGTCCCGTGTCACAGGCACACACCCCTGCCAGTGCCAGGAGAGCCTCATGCCACCTGGCCGTCCCCTCCTGTGCCTTTCTCTTCACCACCACCTCCTCCATTCCCTGCATCACTGAACTGTGAGTTCCCACAGTGAGCAGCACTTCTGAGCAGCTGAACAGCACCTAGAGACACACCAGTGGGGTGGTGGTTTCCCTCTTCTCTAAAGATGGCTACCTAGCGGTGATAGCACTCCCTTTCTAACACGAAAGAGGGCCCCAGTGATCACGTGACACTCCTGGCACACACTTGGATGATGCTGGTGAAGGTGCAGTGTGGCAGCTTCAACTCTTGAACAGGGCAGGGAGGGGTTCATCTGTTCTTTGATGGTGCTTCCCATTGCATGTAGATCTGGTGGGGGAAGTTCTTTGATGGGGAGGGGCATACAGAATAGAGGGAATAGAGGGGAGAGACTCCAGGGAGCCTTCTGGAAGTGTGAAAGAAGAAACCACCCCCCACACTCCCTCACCTCACCCCCACCACTAGGTCCCAGGCCAGGCTGCTTGTGACATACTCATGCCACTGTTTTGTGATCAAGTGCATATAAATGATACCTGTAAGCGTCTGCTGTTGAGACTCTTAGAACTTGTTCAGAAACACCAGTTCTTAGCTAATCCTCTTTTGAAGAGTAACAATCTGAATACATTTTCTTTTTTAATCTTTATAGAGTAACTCTTAGGTCATGGGACACAAGGTCTAAAAAGCCATGTAACTGTACCAAATCCCAGTGTCTGAAATTGTAAGTAACCACAAATCCTTCATTACTAAATACGAATAAGGTTGTTTGGAAGTCAGTAAGCAGAGCGTAGTGTAGACAAGTCGGAAGGCGGAAGGGCTAGCCGTGTACATGCTACAGTTAGTCCTCAAGGGCCGCGTCTTAACCGCATCGCAGGCCAGACAGGCAGGAGCCACGCTGGGGCCCGAGCCTGCTTCTGAACTCTTGGTGCTGTCTTGGCTGATTAACCTCAAGAATGCCACTGCCCACCCTTCAGGGGCATCATTGGCTTGGTTTTGTTCTCCACCCTGACCCCCTTGGCAAGTGCCACGGCCATGGTTGAGTGCTAATGGTAACATTTCCACGCCGTTTCCTAAAAGCTTGAGAACTGGTTCACTCTGTTTTGATTTTCTTTTTCAGAAAAATTCTGCCCCTCGGTGGCAGCTCCCTCTCAGGAGGCTCAGTCCTGGGGTAGAGCAGACTCCCACAGAGCCCGGGGGGAGTAGACAGTATGACCAAAATTGGAGGTAGCCCTAGCCACCCCACATGGTCACATGGAACTTGGGACTGAGATCTGTAATTCCTGTTGCCTGCCCCACACTCAGCTCTTGTCATGGCCACTTCTTTGTCACCCTCACGCCTGCCTCGCCTTAGTTCCCTGCTGGAGGGGGAGGACGTGCCTGGGTGATGTCTGACGACCCTAACCACAGTCTCCACACGGTTTCTTCATTGCAGCTCCCTGAGGTCGCTGAGAGCTCCATTGATGGGCGGTGATGTGGGTGCACACGTGGGTAAAACCCAGAAGTCTGAAACTTGGTCCACAGAACAAACCGAAAACAAATTGATGGTTAAAGTAACGCTGACATCTGGGGTTGACTCAAAATGTTTGAGCAGCCGCTGGGCTAGTCTGTGAATGCCAGCCCTGTGACTCTCTGGACGTTGGAGACCCAGGAGGCAACTGAGCAGGAGACCCTAGAAGTGCGGCAGTGGGAGGAGGAAGGAGAGCGAAGGGCGAGGTGGCAGTGTCTAGAGTGGACACAGTGAGCAGGTGGTGGCCCCTGGACAGGAGCTGCTCAGCTGCTGGCTGGGA